TCGTCAATTATGATATTCCACGAAATTTCCAATTGCTTTTCCACGCGAGTTCTTTAACATTTTATTAGAGCCAACCCTCTAGAAAGATTGTACCGAGTTAATTGATGACGATCATCCGTTTATCTTGAAAAAAGGAACCGACGCTTCGACGTGATTTTAGAGACTGATAACGTTGTATGCCGAACAATGTAATGAAATTACGCGGTGTACCAGGAATTTCCTTCGTTCCGCTTGTTAATAAACGCATTCTCAACAGCGGAGCCAGAAACCTTGCTTTAGCGCAATTTGAAATTGCTTTAGTAGTTTATTTATTAATATTAATATTCATGTAAGTTCACGATAAGCATTTATCATTTATACATTATAAAAACAATGGAGAGAAATGTAGCAGTAGAAGTAGCAGACAGAAAGCGGGTGGGGAAATAAATTCCCTAGGGTCCCCTAGATCTTAAAGTTCCTTTGTGTCCTAACCTGGTTCGATGAGACCTAACCCGGCGTCACCATGGAGAGAATCTTAATTTTAATTTAAGATCCCCTATAAAATTCTAGGGGATTTTTCTTTCTAACTAACATGGTACAATTTTTTGTTTCAGAATGGTGAAGATGTTACCCTCTGACCTGTCGTGAGGAGCACCTGGAAGAAATATGGCTTTGACCGTCGTACCCTCGGCTCGCGTTTTCAACGGAAACGGTGAGTTACAAAGCAATCTTATAGCATAAAAATGGGGTAAACCTGTCCACACGTCAAAAGTCCTCTGTGCCTGCTTTCTAGTTTTTCACGTCGAGTCAATATTACTATCGCTATTGATAATGTCGTTCAATATTTGTGTAAATTTGTGCGGATGATTAACTCGTTTGCTTTCTCGTATTTGGAATTTTGGAATTTTTCAAATTCTGCAATATCGAAATCTTCAATTTTAAACAGGACGACCGATGCCTCTTCGTTAACTCTCTATTACCTAAAAAGGTATAATAAAACGTAAGAACGTGGAAAATGGCAGGATTAATCGATAAGAAGATATCGATCGAACGAGGTTCAAGGATCATTTCTCTCCGGTGGGGGGGGATCGTTAAGTCATTGCCATGTACATCGCGATAGCATCAGCGGTCCAGTGTGACACGTAAATGGGATCTCCACGCACTGCCGGCTAACGAACTTTGCCAGATTATTATTACCGTGTCTCTGGATGGTCGCCAATGGTTACAACATATTTCGGTTTACGCTGAGCGTCGGTCGTTACCCTCGAACAATCAGCCGCTCATGATGATCTACAATCGATCCTACTTCTCCAAAGATAGATCCTTTCTGGTCGGCTAACTTGATCGAACGGCAGTCAGGGTGTTTCTTTTCAACTTCTTCAGGGTTGTATTTTTCATCTAAATCAAACTCTGTATCTATCTTCAAGATTAATTAAGCCATTTAAAATGAAATCTCATTAAATAATAGGTAACTAGAAACCAGGATTTTTATTCTAATTATTTTGTAATAAATAAATTCGTGGTTTTTGTTTTTATTTAATTACAAACTCGTACAATTTTTACAAGATTGTTTTTTTTCCATTTCTCCAGGGTTTAAAATGAAATCTCATTAAATAATAGATAACCAGAAACCAGGATTTTTATTCTAATTATTTTGTAATAAATAAATTCGTGGTTTTTGTTTTTATTTAATTACAAACTCGTACAATTTTTACAAGATTGTTTTTTTTCCATTTCTCCAGGGTTTAAAATGAAATCTCATTAAATAATAGATAACCAGAAACCAGGATTTTTATTCCTATTACTTTGTAATAAATAAATTCGTCATTTTTTTTTTTTTTTTTATTTAATTTCAAACACGTACAATTTTTCCAACAATCATTTTATAATTAGATTTAATTCCGTAAAGGTTACAGGGATTACAATGATTTGTTTAATCTGTTATGATTGCCGGTGAACAGTGGGGACGCAGGGGTACGTTTCCAGTTCGACAGGTTCGATATGCCTTTGCTGCCCTTACGGCTACCACATCGACCTGGACTTTGTGCGATACTGCGAGGCTGTTGCAGCAGGAAGTGCCGGCGACAGGTCTAGCATCGAGAGACGGAAGAAGAGAGAACGTCGAAGGCAATGTCAGTCGATGGAGGTTCTACTGGGTCTGGTAAATTGATCGTTTCGTTCCGTAATTAAACGGAATCTAGGCCGAAAGTTTCCTTCCTTTCTCTTCCTTATTTCAAACATGATAAATTTAAATAATTTTTTTTTTTTTATTTTTAAATCCTTCCACCCTTTAGCAAATCCTTGATCGAAACAGACTTCCCTAGAAAAAAATTGCAATGATTAATAATTAATTTTCGACGCTTAATAAATTTTAGAATAATAAACAGGGTGAATGATCGACAGCTGTCGTGGAAGGTTGGCTCGTAAATTCCATTTGTATTTTTAATCTTAGGTGAGTCCAGCACTGGTGGGAATAGAGGCAGAACTGCCGAAAATACCGCAAGAAACGTCATCGGCGACCAACGGTGTTACGACGTTACCGAGGTCGTCGAGCCTAGAGAGACAAGGATACAGCCAAGAATCACCGGTGCTCGACCTCAGCGACGTGGTGGGCGACTTCGAGGCGACCCTGAAACGATCCACCAGGTCGACCAAGACCTTCGATAAGCCCGACCAGACGGATAACGGTCAGACAAATTACCATTATTTCTTTTTTTTTCTTTCTTCCTTTCTGTAAATTGCATGCCTCGTTTCGCGCACCATTAGTCATACCTGCTTTTCACGTCCAAGCTTCTTTTGTCTCCATTCGTGTCTTTAGATTCTTTCGATAGAAAAAAAAAAAAAAAAAAAGGAAGGAATAACCGCAGCGTGGCGCGCGATCGATCGTAGATAAAGTTCAATTTTTTACAGCGAAAGAAGAAGGAAAGAGATCCAATAATTTCACGCACATTTGATTTCCTCGCGCTGAATCCGCTCGGCCATCTTTCGATTCTCCATGGCCCAATGACCTGCTATACAATAATGCTGCAAAGAGAAATGCTTCCTTCACTTTTGAGTCACTTCGCTATTTCAATGAAATCGTTCTTTGGTTAAGTAAACCCTTGGAACTCCGTTAATTACTTCTCTGTATTGTATCACCCGCCGGAAGTGAAAGAGGAGTCCTAAGTTAATACCATTATGGTATTTATTTTATCAAGTAAATGGTATTCCAGGATCCGTAAGACTTCAAAGAAAGTTATAAATAATTAAAAGGAAAAAATAGAAAATGATTATTTAATTGGAAAACATAGATAGAGTCTTTGAAGCGTTGATACTTTACTCGGTTAGATGAAATTCAATTGACTGTGAACGAATCAATTGATTTCCGATCGTCACGTTCTCGAGTTGATCCTAATTGAAAGAAATTTTATTTGGTTCTCGAACGGGCCCGTTAAACGGCCAATAAAATAGACCATCTGTTCCGGTGAGGTGTCAGCTCGAAGGCACCCGGAAGTAGCGGATATTCGACGCGAATATGCAACCAGCGAAGAGAAATTTTGCATGCATTCCGATGGGCTGTAATTAAATGCAAAAAAATTGCATTTTTTATTCAGGCATAAAAAATAATGGAATAAATTTTGCGTTAGTTTTAATTACTTCGCCATAGTGTAGTCCGTCGGATTCATTAGATTTATTTCAAAATTATGAATTTAGTCCTCTCGGAATGTAATTTATCAGTCGTTAAAATCGAAGAGAGGAAACGTTCTCATCTTTCTGCGAGGACGATTCCAGAGGTTCCCATTGTCTGAGGACCGATAAGACAGGAAACGGGAGCAAGAAACCGGGCAGGTTGCGAAACGTGAGAATCTTCCTGCAAACGAGCTAGGTACCCCGGATAGAGTTCGCGGTCTCGTGAGAAACGATTGTCGCTTTTCGTCGGTTGAACCGTCAACTGAAGTATGCAAAACCGAGGTTCTTTGTTGTTTCTCAGAGAGTGAATACCGTGCGAAGCGAAAATAAATTAAACGAAGAGAAAAGCTATTTTCTGTGGGGACTTTTAACTCATTTACACTGTTCAAATATTAATTAATCTCCTTAGAATCTTTTGAAATTTTTTTGAAAAAGAAAATTAGGATTAAATAGAGACTAAGCAGAGACTATAATTTTAAAAAATTTCTAAATTAAAATTGGAATTTAATTGATATTCGAGTCCTGAAAATTTCTGATATTTATCTCTTCCATTTCACAAAATTATTTCTAAATTAAAATTAGAATCTAATTGATATTCGAGTCCTGAAAATTTCTGATATTTATCTCTTCCATTTCACAAAATTATTTCTAAATTAAAATTGGAGTCTAATTGATATTCGAGTCCTGAAAATTTCTGATATTTAGCTCTTCCATTTCACAAAATTATATCTAATTAACTAATTAATTAATATAACTCCCACCAAGATGAAAGATAGATCTCTATGAAAATTCATACGTTACTCAGCCACGACTGACATAACGATCACGGAATATTATTAACCCAATAAAGGAAGGAAGATCTAGCGATCGCGGAGCACCGTTAAGTAATCGCTCGGAACTGTTGTTTGATATAGTTTCCAGGGTGAATAAATAGCGATCTTCTCGGTGAGTTGCCTTTCGCGCCTGTGAATCACGGTTCGAAGATAATGTACCGGTCGTTTCTTGGCGGTAACCCGGCTTCGAACGGCGGAAAGCGTCAGCGAAGCCGTCGGTGCGTGGCTGGAACCACCTGCTTCCGGTTGCCAGTCGCGTCGGTTTTATCGTCGCTCGAACGGCACCTGCGTTACCTCATTCGTCCACCCACTAATTTCATCGGACACATGCGGTTGATCATTTTATTTTTCAACAACAGTCGGATCTGCAGGCCAGCGAATCGGATCTATGCTCTTTTTTTCTCTCTCCATTTCCTTTTTACTGGCGTGCATTATAAAATTGAAACGGCATGCATAGTCGTTTGATTACGATTTTTATTCTGGGCTTGAAATAATTAACGTTTCTATTTTTATAAAACATTGATTAGATTTTAGAAAAAAAAAAACGTAAAGCATAAATAATTTATCGGTAATTCGAGCGCAACTTTCTCTGCAAAATCTGAAGCGCTACTATTTTTCTGCGAAAGTGCAACAAATCGAAACAACACGCTTCATCGCGAATAATGAAATCCGTCACAGATGGTCTGAACGAAGTTTGAAACGCGCTTTCCATCCGAAGCGTCCGCTAGTTATTTTCACAGGCACGATTTCAGGCAAAAGTGACAGAGTCTAACGAAAGCCGTGCATTATCTTCCCATTATTAAAGCGTTAACAATGTGTGCTCTCTGGATGGTTAGAAAGTAGAAAAAAAAATCGTGATACTAGTTAATTTCGCCATTGCGTGATGGAGAGAATAACCTAACCTAACCTCGTCGAACGCGAATCGTTGAAAGTACCATGAAATTTCCACGCGAATCATTCTTTTTTTTTCCCCCGGTCGCCTGAATGGAGAGAGGCGTTCTGCCAAAAGTTTTCGAACGAAAATAACGTGTTCATAAACGCGACCGACACGAATTCATCGGGGACGCCCCTAGGGAATACGTACTCGTGGTTTAATATCGAAAAAGCTACGTCGGTATCGCTCGGTTTTAACTCGATTTGGAAGGCATGACGCGAGTGCATCGAGAACGCTAAACCATTTTCGTGCAACCTTGTCGGAGCAAGGTGGTCGCATATGGCCGTATACACCTGCCACGGACTAAACGTCGCGCAACTGGTGCAATCGTTCTTCGACGTCGCTCTAAAATCGTGCGTAAAAAAACAACAAGATGTTACGATCGATGGACGTTCCGTTGACAACTGGAAACTCGTCACGCGAAAGTGCTGACCGCGAAACGACTGAGTTTTTTTATCAGAAGATTTATTTTTATGAACTGAAATTTTTATTACTCTTAGGGAAATCTGTGGGACCAGATTTAGATCTAATGAGATGGAGAGGCATGTTCTATTAATTGCTCCGAATAATTGCTTCGAGGATAGTAAATTTAGAAAGGTTCGGGAAGCTCGTTTCTATAAATATCTTGGCTCTTTTGTGATGTAGCACATATTGCCTGAAAGCCATCACTTTTGTCATTTAAGAAAATAAAATCCATTAAAAGTTTCGAAATTTTGAAAGTTTGAAATCAATTTAACAATGACGCACCATGTGCGTCGTGGACTATTTCGATGACACACCATGTGCGTCAGACGCTATCTATGCAATGACGCGCCATATGCGTCTTACTGAAAAGTTAAAATTTCGTAACCCGAACTTGGAATGGATTAAAACTTTTGATCACTCTACTGATGAGAGGCATTATTGATACTTAATCGAGGTATCCTCTTATCAGCCAACTTGCAAAATGATTACCGAAACAAAGCATAGAGGGTAAAGCATTCTTTTTTTCTCCTTCTTGTGTACGATTAAGAAATCGTGGAGAACACGCACACCGGTCAGAGAACAGGAGAAGAGGCACACAATTCCCCTCTCCATTCACCTCATGGTGAGTAGTCGGAGTCCTGGTTGGCTATAGCCCAGAGTTCGGCGTCACAGTCAAACGCAAACAGTGGCCGCGGTGAAACAGATCGTGGCGCGAATGCTGGAAAAATCGTCGGGAAAGCCGTCGAAAACGGTATGCGAGGAGTTTGAATCGACCGCGTCCACGATCCCGGTGTGTCGCGATCATCGGCGTGAATTTCGCCGGAATTTATCGCGATTAATCCGTGCTTTGATCGATCGAACGAACGAACGAAAAATATCGAAAGCTAACGGCGCGTACCGATCTTTAATTGATTGGTAATCGTCGACGAGTTCGACGTCGAAAATTATCTGCCTCGATGGCTTCCATGGATGTTGAAGTGTCTTCGAGTGCGGTTCAGTCTCTGGAGAACGCTTCTTAGCTGATCTATGAAATCGTGTTCCTTCTTCTTGTAAATCCAGTGAACGGTGAAAAAGCAATCGAGATGGGGGTGAAGAATTTTATAATGAAGAGGATACCCTTCTGCAAGATGAAGGCGAAGAGGAAGTATCGTGAGTCCTCTTCTTTCTTACGGGATCTATGAACGATCGAGTGGTATTGAAAAATTCTTCTCGCAGAAAATACAGACCTTCAACCGTTGATTATCGCGAACTCCGGCTTCGAGGATTTTTTTACGCGTATCTGCTAATAGATAACAGACACTTACGTCATTTGATTTTCTTCGGGTCATGTTTTCACGTGTATTGTTGATAGTTGCATATCGTGCACTCTTAAGGAGGTATCCTCATTTTTTAACGATACAACAGACGCGAATCTTATTTAGATAATATATGTACGTAGAAAATAATCGGGCTCTCTCCATGGTCCGTCCGAGGATTAATAGCGAAAGGGTTAAAATGAAGGAACAAAGATGTTATTTTCCTCCTTGCAGGTAGTTATTATGCCGTTAATACGCGGCGCGGATTTTGGAGGTTAAAGTCGGATTCCAGTGCGAGACCTCCTTGGGATAGCGAAAGACGAAATTGAGGTTATGTTTGGGGACGTAACAAAAAGAAACACCTAGAGGCTTAATTTTCATTGTTAACGCGGATGTTATTTCTCGCTGAGGCTACGTGATTCGACGTCGAATGTAATTAAAGAGATACTTTATCTGAGAGACCAAACAAGTTGAATTCATTATCGTCGCGATACAGTAAACGAGTGTCGCTCTGTATGCTAACAGCTTGACCCCGTGGAATTGGTATCTCCTCGTTTCCCTGTTGAAACGAAATCGATGGGTCGTCGAGGAAAATTTCAATGAGAACGATGCTTAAGCTTCCAGTTTAATTGGACTGTTCGCCGAGATACTATCGGAATGCAAAGAGATTTAAGAATCGGTTCGGAAGCATTGGATCTCGTGGAATCTTTCTTTCGTTGCAAATCGCGTGTCGTTTTATTTCAATTATTTTAACGAGTTCGATACCGGGATGAAAAACACAAGGGAAGAGCTGCTACTTTTAACTTGACTTTCACGGACACCGACATCTCTCGCAGTCGAGTCGCTTTTTCATAGAAACACACAATTCTAATCCACATATGCAACGCGCTAGAAACCAGCACTTCCATATAAAGTGCAACGTAACGATTACCAGCAATTATTTACTCCATCCAAACCCTTCCCCTGTATATAAAAAATGACCCAACATTATTTTATCAAAAATTAAATAAACTTCGCTTTATCCTTTTGCGCTTCAACTGACGCTCTTCAACGACGATTATCGAGCATAAAAATATACAAAAAATTCATTAGAATGAAATGGCAAAAAGGTGATATAAGTAGGTATAATTAAGAACGGTTCGCAGGAGCGCGTGACGCTGTTTGCGTGCCGGAGATCCTTTGATACTAGAATTTCGCGTAGTCGCGTCACGATATCGCGGAACGCATTGGAGATGCCGCGACGTCTGGCGCGTTTCTTTATTGTCTCCAACGTTTCCATGCGGCACGTACCGCGGACCCTTACGCAACAATCAATTAAATGAAAAATTGAACGAGCGAGCAGGTGAACGTTGCGACTTGCGCAACGCGCCTGCGCGCAACCTGCTCGTTCGTAAGGGCATCGTCGAGGGCTGCACGCAGGAAGTCGTACTCGATGATCGTTTAGATCCTCGGTCGGAGGGGAACACGTGAAATCGTCATTTTTAACGGTCGGAATCACCGTACGGAACGGTTCGATCTTGAAAATTTTACGGTTGCTTCTTTCCTCGAGGCAAGAAATATTTTTATGCTTTCAGTATTTTTAGTTTATACCTTTTACTAGGTAGTATGATTTTTAGAGAAACAGTATAAAATTTAGAAAATGAAAATTGGGGCTCTCCACGTGGTCCGCCAAATCGTCATTTTTAACGGTTGCTTCTTTCCTCGAGTCAAGAAATATTTTTAGTTTATACCTTTTACTAGGTAGAATAATTTTTAGAGAAACGGTATAAAAGTTAGAAAATGAAAATTGAATTAAATTAAAATTGGGGCTCTCTACGTGCTCGTCAACCGAGAATAATAAGCCTCCGACAGTATCACGCAATTGTGAGGGTTGGTAATTAAAAAGTGGAATGATAAATGAGTCGTTGCGGGTAAAACAAGGTTTATCTTCGTGCTTGTTTCATTTCAGTTTTCTAATTTACATTTCAATGTGGTTAAACAAAATGTGTACGCAACTGCATGCGACACTGTATCTGTTTAGGAATTATGAAGTCATAGATAAATTACAAAAGAAGCTATTACATAATTCAACAATTTTTTATTTGTTATCTTCATCGAGACCTTGAAGTACCAGGGCAGTCAGTGTAATTGTAACATTTTTACTAATATTTATATTTCATTTTTCATTTCAATAACAGACAGTTGAAACTCGCACGATTTCACTGACGCAGCTAAAATATTTGTACATTTTTTTTCTCGAATGTCCATTTTCCGAATGGAAACGTTTCACTCAATTCCGACCAATTTTAATATTAGAGAAAAGTGTCATCACGTCAAAGTATTCTTTTTTATAAATATTCATCTGCACGTCAAACACAGAGACTGCTGCGTTCAAATATTTGCATGAATTTATACGTAAAGGCTATTTGTGCATTGATATCGCGTACTTTGAAATATTCGGTCGCTAGTGTAAATTTATCCATCAAAATTTACATTTAATTATAAAATACTCCTTTAATCTTCGCTGTAGCTCTCATTATATTAATTAAAATTTTTAATTCGATAATGCCGCAAAAATTCCAATATAATCTTTTTAAGTGAAATTTTATACTTTTATTTCCCCCAGAAAATCGATGAATAAAACTGGCAATATTTTTCATCTAAAAAGTTAAAAATTGTTTCAGATGGAACGAACACCGCGACTCCGGTGCAGAACAACGCGCAACCGGAACACGGGGCGGATTTTGACAACGCCAGCGTTGGTAGCGGAAACTCGAATCTCAGCACGGGCGCGCTACAGGTAGGAGCAACAAGTACACTCGCACTGAATTAGTAAACGAAAGCAAAGAGCAAGTATATTCTAGCAAAGCGTCACACATTCTAGAACATCAGAGAGCAAATGGCAGCCTCGTTGGAACGGATGAAGGAGCTTGAGGAACAGGTCAAGGCGATTCCCATGTTACAGGTAAACCGCTCGACAATTTTATATCTCGTATGTTTTTCCTTTACTCTATGAATCATCTTTTCTTTCTTTCCTTCTGTTGCGATACTTCCGACCGAGAAATGTAATTGCGTTCGATGGTAACGTGGCAATATTAACCCTTTCATAATTGCATTTTTATTTTTATATTAATTTGCATTTTTATATTAAACATTAAAATCAAGTTGGTCTTCAAATGGTTAAGGTGATCTGAATTATATCAATGTTATAATCACCAGACTTTCTTAACACTGTATTATTATAATTGCAATGCAACTCGTTGACCCAGTTTTAAGATAGAAATAAGTACCTTCAGCTCTGACGCCGACTGTGTTAATCAAGCTTTTGATTTGCGAGCTTTTAATGAGCTTAAAATTGCGACCGTAATGAGCTTAAAATTGCGGGTCCATAGAAACAAACTATTCAACAAGTTTGCGTTTGATATACGGTAGACTCTTGTTATATTACCTCATGAGCGATTTGACGTTCAGATAGATTCTAAAGCACATTAGTACCACCCTCCTACCACCGTAGTCTATGAAAATAATACCCCTACCAAGTGAAAGCTTGGAAGCTTGACAAATCCTCTCCTACAGACCTATCGGCGGCGATATAACGAGAGTCTACTGCAACTAGTTATTCTTGGCATGTATCCATCAACCTATGAATCATACATTAAATGTTCCCTTTACCTTCTTCCCAAAAAGAAGGGTAGTTATTTTGAATCAGAATTTAACTACCCCAATAAAGATACTAATTACCAATTACTTTCATTAATTAAATTTAGCTTACTAATTCAATAAATTCCAAACGAATAAATTAATATAAATTTATAGCTTAGCTACGTCCACCCGAATGCTGGATAATAATAAATAATCCACCCCGAATTATCACCTTCCCTTACGCGCGATAACAGGTGCAAGTATCGGTGCTGAAAGAGGAGAAGCGGAATCTGCTGCGACGGGTCGACGAGTTGAATTCGTGCAACGAAACGTTGCACAGGCACCGGAGCCAGTCGTTCTCGGAACAGCGAGCATCGATGCGAAATCTGAAGAACGCGGCTGCACCGACCAGAGACGCGGGGACGATGTGTGGCGTAATGACGCGGGACGTCGGTGTTTCGCACCAGCAGGTACACCACCCGTAGCTTCCGTTCCCCGACGAATTTATCGCTCGATTCGATCTGCTTTGCGTTTAACCGCGAGAGAAACACGGAGAAATCCGTTTCAACGAACCGCGACAGAACATTTGCATACGTACCGGCAACTTTTAATTACCTCAGCGCAGAACGTCGACAAATTAGTTTATTCGGCTGCTGAGAAAGTCCGAACGAGAAACCGCGAAGTTAATTTTAAGGATCGCCTTAGGTATTCATTTTATGGATTTTCTACGGTTATTAATGTATTCCACCTTTCTATCAGGATAAACGCAGATGAATGTTTCATTTAAAATTATTTATCCATGCGATGATACAATCATTTTTTATTTCCAACTGAGATCTGTTGGGTTTGATATGTGTCGTTGCAAGATTCAAAGGTATTAAAAGGATAAATTAATTTTACATCTGATATAGAACTTCAACTCTTTCATTCCATTCAGTACGCTAAATTAGTATTGAGCCAAACCCGGGGCACAGAGAGTGCATTGAAATAAATAATCGATAAATTATTTATTGATTTCCATTCTTTCCTAATGAAAGGGTTAAATGAATATACGTAGAAATTATCGAATCCCTATTAATTGAATTTCGAGTGGGAAGAATATTTTTTATCATTCCATCCATCAGATCTGTAATTCATTTCCATAAATTGAGATTAATTATCCGAATGAAACTTCATTAAAAAGTAACCACGAATTTAAAAACAATTAACTTCCGTGAAGGCTTTCTAAAAAAAAAATCATTTCGACTGAATAAAAAAAAATAGTAACGTTGCATTGTTACGCGATCAGGTTCGAACCCGAGATATCGGAATGGTAACCAGCACGCCGATAAAACAATCCCTACAGAGGAGTCGATTGCAGATCGAAGAAATCGTACCTGAAATAAAAGACCGGAGCACGTTGTTCGACAGTACCTCGTCGAGCTTCGACCGGCTCTATTCCCGCGACAGTTGGAGGTCCACTTTAACCCGTAGCCAACTGATGTACGAGGAAATAGCGCCGGAAACGAAGGCGAAAAATCGTTTGATAAGAAGCCCACTTCAAGTGGAATCGATTCCGCCGATCAGCCCTAAATTGGTCAGGGACGCGAGGAAATATCGGGATATCGGTGTAAATACGAGGAACAAGTTGAAGGACCTGGTACATAGCCGGTTCGTTATAGAGGACATATCACCAGAGGTGAAGAAAGAAGTTAGGAAAAGATCCATTGGTACCGCGACCAGTTTGAACATGAAAGACGTACTGACGAACGAGGACGTTGCGGTGATCGTGGACGATGCGCTGAGGATTTATAAGAGCAGCCTGTTTAAGGACACCGCTTCCAGGGGAAGCCAGTGTACCCTCGACCAGGTAAAAATGATCGAGAAGAGAGATCAGTTTACTCAGATCGCGGAACCGTTCCGAATGAGGACGAACGTGGGTGTGATGGTGAAACCAAGGGTGTCTGAAATTGGAATCGAGGTTAGAACCGGTCCAGGTACGAGAAGCATCGCTGTCGGTCCGGATCCATTGGCTACTCAATCTCTGTCGCTTCATTCCTTGAACTCGAGGAGTCATTCGTTTAATTACGGTGAGAGTAATGTTAAAAGGAAAAGTACGAAATCCGTCGGCGTGATGGTCGACGATTTAATAAGGACCACGGTGAAGAGCACCGACACTTCCGGTCTGGCGCCTAAGAAACGGGAGTTCGGTACGTCGCCGATAAAAAAGAAATTCACCGACGTCTCGGTCGGCGAGTCGGTAAAACCGCACATTTCCATCTCCTGCGCGGCCAACTATTGCGATAACTGTAAGGAGACGATCAAAAATCTGGCCAAGCAAATCGTTAATAACGCGGAGAACAATATGAACCATCAGAACACGCAGAATCTTGTCTCGAGGATACCCAGGCCGTCGCATATTCCGTTGAACAACTCCGCTGATCAGAGGAGACAGTTTAAGCGACAGGACACTTATACCAAGATACCGGCTGCGGGTGTGATAAGATACGATGTTGATAACAAGGAGCACTATGACAACAGTAATCGGTTAGTAATTTCTTTTTAGAAGGAGAGGAGTTTAATTTTTAACCCTTCTTTGGATTTTCCAATTTTATTCCATAGATAATTTCCTAGGGACTTTTTAAAATAAATTTAAGCTCCAAATCATACCCTATGTTAATGCAAGCTTGGCTTAACCCATTAATTTGCCAAATTTTTTTTTTTAATTTTTGGTTGGATAAGTTATATATATATGCATATTTTTGGCGCCGAGTGGTGTATGTAAAATTCCAAAATCCCCAAATGGGGATCGTGGCAACTAATGGGTTAAATCTTTAGCGGCTGCTCTGGCCCTCATGATCCAAAGAAGGGTTATTTCCCTTTTGGAAATCCCTTCTATACAGAGTATTTAGGTTATTATTGGCAAGGGTTGATACAAAAGTCTTCAAAGATTCATTAAAGTTGGAACCCTCTCTTTATTAATAATAATACAATTACAATTTTATTATAATTTAAAAAAAAATAATTTGAAATACGTCGATATAAATGCTGAAAACTATAGCACGCGCCATCTATTACTAGCAGGGGATAATACTATAAGGGTAGTTTAGTAAAAATCAAAACTTGACGTGAACGATCAATCTACTGTATGTTTAATGGCAGTCCAGCGCATGTCAGGAAATTGTTGGTTTTTTCCGACTCCATGGTTGCGCGTCGTGTGCATCATAAGCGTTTTTACGGGGGCAAAGTACAGAGGTCAAATTGTAAATAACTTCGTTAGAGGTCAGTGACAAAGAAAGTGCACGTAAAATCTCCGCGAATTCGTTATGGTGAGCAAGTAAATCGTGTACCCGATCTCGACGGATCGATGCTGCAACAGCAGCAGCAACGTTCAACCCGTTTAGTTAACGATACCGAACTCACCGAAATATCTTCCGCTCGTTTCGTTGAGAAAGGGTAATTGATTTCTTGGATCCATTGTCTTCACTCCATTCGTTCTACACAAATTAAGGAATGAAAAGATTAATTGTTTATATTAACAAAAAACTATTTATGTTTTTTTTATTTTTCATAGTATCCAACAACTGCAAGGGGAAAAAGGTAAAGATGAGAAATCAGAGGATATATACACTGGAGAGAAACAAGCAGACAACGAAGAGAAGCATGAGCTTCCAGAATCTGCTCTGTTTCAACCGATACAAGAGAAACCTAGGAAAAAGGTTGAACCTACAAAGGAGATGCAAGCCGCCATGAAAGTTCTTAATGATAGTCTTAAAAAATCACCCAGCAAAAATATCTCCCATCAAATGAAAAATGCTATCAACATTATTCAGCAGGAATGGTTCAAAATCTCTAGCACTGTGAATGCTAATCCTTTAGAGGTCGAAGACTATCTGGATTGCTTCGAAGAATGCTCCAGCTGTTTATTAGAGTACATTGTTAACATGACTGATTCCAGTGGAAACACTGCAATGCATTATGCAGTTTCGCATGGAAATTTTGACGTTGTGTCTATACTGTTGGATTCGAAAGTCTGCGATATTAACAAAGCAAATGTGGCTGGATACACGGCTGTGATGTTGGCAGCTCTGGCTGAAGTCAGGAATTCTACCCATGCTTCAGTGGCCAACAGGTTGTTCCAACTTGCTGATGTTAATATCAGAGCAAAATTAGTAAGTTTTTTAAATTAATTTCATCATTACACTTTGTAACAGTTAATTTAAAATCTACTGGATTCTTTTTCAGCATGGTCAGACTGCTTTAATGCTAGCAGTATCTCATGGCCGCAAAGATATGACTCAGTTACTCTTGGATGCTGGAGCAGCGGTTAACATTCAAGACGAAGACGGCAGTACAGCCTTAATGTGCGCTGCAGAACACGGACACACTGATATTGTGCGATTGTTACTCGCGCATCCAGACTGTGATCCATCTATCGTTGACATAGATGGTAGTTCCGCTCTAAAAATTGCGTTAGAAGCGGGCAATCGGGACATCGGTGTGTTGCTATACGCTCACGAGCGTGTAAACAGAGGTACAAGTCCTTATTCGTCGATGAGACGAAGCAGTAGAAGAGGATCCAAGCCGACAACACCTACAGGTCCTTCTCCATCAGCGCCAGTCAGCCCTGCTCCATCACGAAGAGTTCATTCGTCAACCACGTCCCTGAACACATCAAAATATTCTTCTAAATAATTTACAAGACTTTTATTGATATTTAACGTATTAGTTTGAATGATCATACGAATAAGCAATAATACAATCGGCGTTTCGTGTTTCCTATATTTATTGCAAACGTGTTTTAGTATTTATCGTCGATTTCTGGTGACAAACGATCATGATCTTGCCTAATAATCCATTAGCCCTGATACAAGCGTTTAATTTAAGACATATATATTTTACCTGCTCAACTTTGTATACAATTATTCGAGAGGAAGTTTGGAATATATTGTTTTGTAAAGTTAGTTTATAGAAAAGGATCCGTGGGAAACACCATTGCCACGCGAGATTAGCTTATAGGAGAGATATGTATAAACGGGTGAAACTTTTTTCTAGGTGCTGACCGAGTAAAAAGCGAGGTCATTTTTTCATTGTTAACAAATTTTTATACATTGTCACGATTAACGGACACCCTCAAAATTTGATTCTTAAATTTTAAACACTGTGAAAGTACAAAAGCATTTTATTATTCGGTCACGGTGAAAGAATCAAGTAACGTCTTCCAATGATCCTGTGGCATTAAACATTCCAAAATGAAACATTGACGTACAATCCGAATTTCTTACCGCTGAAATCTTTTCCTCACACCTATCTCTAATGTATTCGAATTTCAGGCCTAATTTCCATTAAATCTGGGGGATCAAACTGCAGTAGAATAATTGTGTACTGATACGGAAACGGAAATACATAAGACATCCATGCGTACAATGATTACACGGTGCACAAACAAAACGTGAGATATTATAATTCTCATGGTCAATGTTGAATTTATATACGAGAAATATTCGTAGAACCTATTGATCGTCGTTCGATGTTTTAAGTAGAAATGTTATAGATGTGAAAGTATAAATATGATACCTGTGAATGATGTAAAATATTCGAAGGGCACACAAGAGAAATTTAACTAAGTTTTAATAGTTGTTGAAATTTTTTCCAAGGTACAATATATATTACATGTATGTATATGGGGGAAAAAGAAGATACGAAAAATATTTAATTTCATTCCTCGTTTACGTGTGTCATCCTCGCGTTAGGAATTGGATATTTAAGAACGTTGAACGTTTTCTTATATAGGGTTGTGAATATCTAGAAATAACGAACGTATTTAGGTTCAACATCAAAGATTTAGGTTAACATTGTAATAAGTATTCCTATCGTTAAGAATCTGTAATAACATTAAGTGACAATTATACGTATATCAAAGATATAGCACAGAATCAAGTAATAGAATCGTAGGGATCTAGAAAGTAGAATACTACTTTTCATTGTTTGTGCCTTTATATTTAACATGTAATTGATAATAAACTCAACGAGAAATAATATGAAATGATTGCATATTCTTGTGGTATGTAATTACATGTCCCAGACAATGAAAATGGATCGTTCCTACATGACAACATAATAAGGGGTCTTACGTAACATTTCCCCACGTTAAAAAAAAAAGAAAAAATATTTACAGCCACTAATTTCAACAAAGGTAGCTGGCTGCGGCACCGTTATCAACCATTCGACGCAGAGCGAAGTGAAACATCATCAGTCGTACAGCGACCGCCGAGGGGTGCAGATCTACCTGCTAGACATATGTACCTACATATACCCTTATTTTATTTTCTGCGTTCATTTAATTTGCTGTATTTATCTTCATGGCTTATTGAATAAACTCATTAGGAGGACGATTGTGTTGGTTTTATTACTCCCGCGTACATCCTTTACATCCCTGCATTCCTTGCATTCCTTGCATTCCTTACATCCCTGTTTTCCTTATATCCCTGCATTCCTAACGTCCCTGTATTCCTTACATCCCTGTTTTCCTTATATCCCTGCATTCCTTACATCCCTGCATCTCTTACGTCACCGCAACTCAGGCATCCTGCATTGTGTTCCTTGGTAGCAAAAATTGAAATTGAATTTAGCGTAAACTTTGGCCCTCTAGCGGCAAAAATTTGAACTAAATTTCGAATGTCGAATCAGCGCCCTCTGGTTGCAGGAAAAGGAACTAAAGCATGCAGAAATTTTGGCCCTCTAGCGGCAAAAATATCAACTAAATTTCGAATGTTGAATCAGCGCCCTCTGGTTGCAGAAAAAGGAACTAAAGCACGAAGCAATTTTGGCCCTCTAGCGGCAAAAATTTGAACTAAATTTCGAATGTCGAATCAGCGCCCTCTGGTAGCAGAAAAGGGAACTAAAGCAGGGAGCAATTTTGGCCCCCTGGCGGCAAAAATTTCAACTAAATTTCGAATGTTAAATCAGCGCCCTCTGGTGGCAGAAAAAGGAACTAAAGCAGCTAGCAATTTTGGCCCCCTAGCGGCAAAAATTTCAACTAAATTTCGAATGTTAAATCAGCGCCCTCTGGTGGCAGAAAAAGGAACTAAAGCGCGTAGCAATTTTGGCCCCCTAGCGGCAAAAATTTCAACTAAATTTCGAATGTTAAATCAGCGCCCTCTGGTGGCAGAAAAAGGAACTAAAGCGCGTAGCAATTTTGGCCCCCTAGCGGCAAAAATTTCAACTAAATTTCGAATGCCGAATCAGCGCCCTCTGGTGGCAGAAAAAGGAACTAAAGCACGCAGCAATTTTTGCCCTCTAGCGGCAAAAATTTCAACTAATTTTTAAATGTCGAAGCAGCCCCATCTGGCGGCAAAAATGGGAACTAAATTCATCGCGATTTTTTGATTTGCTTGAGGTACATAGGAGATACAGGAATATAAGCGATACAAGGATGTAAGGGATGCAGGGACATAAGGGATGCAGGGACATAAGAGATGTAGGGATATATGGGATTTTTTTTTTTCTTTTTAACGTCGGGAAATCTTGCATAAGACCTCCCACCGCCCCCTGGGGTAGGGCGGCGGGGGAGTGTCAAATTCCTACTGACTAAAACCCCACGGCGACCGACACTGGCGCTAAAGGAGGGCTCCGGGACCTTATGTATATTACTCTGGAGCCCTCCACGCCTGGCACACAAGTGCCCATCTTGGAAAAGGTCCAAACTAAAACCTACTCTGTGGTCGACACCGGGGGTCGCACCCGATGCCGACCTCTACTTAGGCCGCGTACAATGACGTCCGAAGTCCCAACTCCAGACGCCTGCGGCCCTGACAGCCCTACTGGTTTTGGTGGTGGAGCCGGCAAATCTAATGTGAGAAGCGGGCTGGATCACCCTTCAGACTGCGCACTAAATGGTGATGCGCCTGTATACATATGCCGCGTTAGCGTTTGGGAGCAGCTACTGCGCATGCGCGCGCATCTGCCGCCTGTTATAAGTTACTACTGCGAAGACCAGTATTACTAAAATTATTCACAGAACAGAAGTTAAAGGAATTATTAACGCAAATTGAATTGGAATTAGTTAAAGAATGTTAAAGAAATATATTGAAGTTATAAGCCTTAATTTTAAAACTAACAATTCTTCATAATTTTTGTTTAAATTGATTTGCTAGGATGTTAAAGTATTTCCTTCGGTCTTAAACATCATTAAAGAATAAGAATGGTTAGAGGACTGTGGAATTGCCTTAATTGAAGTTTTTGAATTTTTGAATTTTTTAAATACAAGATACGAACACTTCATTCACCATGGATTTGAATTTTGGGTACTAATAAGAATTATCGTACTACATAGATGCCCCTTGCACCCGGCAACAACGTTTACACACACGCACACTGTACCAAATCTTGTATATTTAGTATACTTTAAACCACATCCCTATCATAACATCACGTTCTTGTGAAGGTAACGGTTGTGTTAAAACCATTCGTCTGTTCTTTCTTTTCTCTTTCCATTATCTTAACAGTGAAGATACGTCACTATGTATAACATGTAAGTTTATTAGTATACTATTATTTAATATTATTTCTTTTAATCTATGTATAATATCTTTTGTGTATTTTCAAATTTTATATTTTATAACTATATAAGAAATTATTATAACTAATAGCTAACGTAAAATTTGATTACAATATAAATGTATAAATATTTATTTATTTAGTTTATGAATTTATAATAACTAATTTTTATTCCTTTATATATTTATCGATAAATTCATTGTCTTATTGTTGAGGTTATATAGTATTTTTAATATCGTTTCACACTTTTTTTTCAAATTATTATTAATTAGTATAATTTAATAAGAATATTAAATGATAGAAGATATTAATTCGCCAAAGTGTTATGTTGCGACATATGCGGGTTCAGGTCAGCGTTTTTATGAAACACAATTCTAATTCCGTTTATCTTTACAGTGATAATACGCTACTTTTAAAGTATAATCGGTAACTAAAATGAGCAAACGTTAAATTACTTAAAACTTTTTATTATTATTGAAGTAAAATGAAGATTATATTTTTTTGGAATATTTAAAGCTTTGTTTTGATTGAAATTTAATCATTATGATTTCTGCTTCGGGCTTTTGGGTGTGTTTGTGTTTCGATCATCTTCGACGACGGGACGTAAACATTGCAGTTCACTTGTTCCGGACAGTTCTGGATATTTTTTTATGAATATTAATCATTGCATATCATTTGAATTGTCATGTGTGAATGAACCCGTAATAAATATTGCAAATATGGGTGGTTAAATTAATAAGAATTAAGATTTGAGCGCGGATAATTCAAAAAGAAATGAATCTAGTTTTGAGTTTAATGACTTTTCGAGCTTTTTACTTATATCATTGATATTATTTTTAGTATTAGTGTCTTCAATATTGTAATAAATATTATAGTTATAATTAGAATTGCAATACGTATTAACATATTATTACAATAATATTTTGCACTGTTGCAATAATAAAAGTAAATATGTGCATTGAACGTGAATATTCTGGACTTCGACCGGAATTAAATCAGAGAATTACGGAAATGATTCAATGTCGTTTGCATAATGACATGTATAATAAAAATTCTTCTTACGATACAACACTTCAGATACTTTGGAATACACCTATTGAATTTTACCCTAACCAAAGTAGCATTCAATAAATATATCCTATATTTTCAATCCACTGCAAAGTTTATGTTTAAATAATCATCTAATTTCAGATTAGAAAACGTTATTTATTATTCAGCTGGATTTCTGATCGCCCTTACTCTCCTTACAATTGTCGTCTCATGTGAGCCAGTGAGATATTACATCAAGTTTACTACTTTTATAACAAGCGCTGCCATACCAGCAACTCTACATTTACCTTTCATGCTCTTACGAATCAGGGATTGGAGAAATGCATTGTAAGAAAAAAAGAAAGAACGTAAAAAATCAGGTATGCACACGAAATTGTCCGAGTGTCCGAATGCTCCTCATCTTGCCCTTGGCATTGCGCGCGAGCAGTCTCGGACGCCCGTGCTGTGCATGTCTGATATACATCAATAAACGATCGAATTGTAAATTTATTATAAATTTAATGATATAGGTTTTCAGCATGGTGTGTAAAGAAGGTGTTAGAATTTCTAGGAGTGAGATTTCGTGTTCGTGGGAAAGAGAATATTGTTAAAGATTCGGGCAGCATCGTGTTAATCAATCATCAAAGTATATTAGATTTATGTGGTAAATATATGAACTATTTATACTATCGTTAATGTTTTGTCCGAAGAAAGATGTACGTTATAAAAATTATAAATTCTCCATGACAAAAGAAATCACCAAGTCCGAGCACTTATACTGGAGAAGCGAGGTGGAGGTGTATTGGGGATAAGACTATTGCAATAATATTACAATAAATATATTTTAAAAAATTCGACAAGTGATCGGATTCGATTGTAGTGTGAAAACCGTACACATTTTAATTGTATAACTGAAGCATATGGAGGTACGCTGCCGAGCCCTCTAGCCTTCCACTTGAGAAAAGAGCGATGTAGGGGAAGGACGCCCCACCACTCGTCTTAATACTCCCATTCATACTCCCCCACTCCGTGTCCATTCTCCTTCCCCCTAATGGAAGGCTACTATGCTCGGCACTGTACATTACCTATTAAAAGGGTACTGGGACTTATATCTCAAAAACTAAGTCTTGAATTGCAAAACAGTATATGATTTTTAAATATCTCTTTTCACATCTATTTTTCACGAGACACTCTGTATGATTTCCACGTTAAAAATGAAAAATGCAAATTTATAATACATGTACAGATAAAGAAGTAAATTTTAATTTCAGTTCTAGGTGAATTGTGGCCAGTACTGACAAAATGCACGGTTATTGCCAAAAAAGAAATTCTATATTTTGGACTATTTGGCTTAGCATCTTGGCTCTGGGGAACGATCTTTATTAACAGGCAAAGGGGCGAAGAAGCTCAAAATGCTATTAATGCGACAGCTAAGTGTATTAAGGATTTAAAAGTAATTTCTATTTTATTTAATGCAAAATGTAATAATTTTATAAATATTTATTAAATACTTTATCTATATGTTTTTCAGGCAAACCTCTTAATATTTCCGGAAGGCAGTCGACATTCTGGTTCTACGTTACTAGCATTTAAAAAAGGCGCCTTTCACTTAGCCATTGCGTCCCAAATGCCAATACAACCCATTATTGTTTCAAAGTATTATTTTCTCAGTTCTAAATTAAAGATATTTAATTCAGGTTAGTATTGTTAGACATCGGTAAAAGGAATAATAGCCTAAAGTAATTTATATTATTATGTTACAGGTGTGAGTTATATTACCATTTTGCCAGCTATCTCTACGAAAGGTTTAACGAAAGAAGATCTCCCGAGGCTTATGGAAGATACATATCAAGTTATGAGCAAAAGCTTTTTGGAAACTTCGAAGGAAGCAATAAATGAATACGTTGATTGTTTAAAAGATGAATAAGAAAGAATGCTACTCTGTGAATATTTAATGTTATTAATTTGATTCGTACAAATACCAAAATTATTCGAAGTCTATTAAAATTTAAAAATTTCACAATTTTTTATTGTCATTTGTAACATAAAAATATTTATGGAATTAATAATGAAATTAGTATAAAATTTACTATGTGTATATGTGTACAAATTGTATTTAAAGAAATTTACAAAAATAAAATTCAAAGAAAAAATGAAATGTGATTCTAATCATTAATGCGCCTATTACATGTTATATAATCTTTCTATATTTGTTCATTAAAAAAAAAATTAGAGGCACCGAACATCAAATGTGAAATATTTAAGTTCGGGGCCCCACTTAAGTATCCTGTCGGCCCTGGTTATTGGTACACGTGATGATTCCTAACAAAAGATTTAAATTTATAATTATTGCATTATGATATTATTAAAATTTCGCAAGATGGGTAGGTAATGAAAAATGGTAAGATGCAATCAGAAAAATATCTTCAGCTAACATTGGCTGTAATTAAGCCGCATATCGTTAAATCTCCCTTTGTGCTTCAGGTAAGAGGGTTATTAACCTAACTTTCTAAATTGTAAATGGCAATCAAAGAGGATTGACACGACAGTTGCTTCTTATCCACGAATATTATGGTAATATTCTGATTTTCAGAAAATTCGAAACTTAATTATTGACAATAATTTGAAAATTGTCAGATCACGCAGGTCAATAATTACCCAAGAAGAAGTAACGCTATTTTACGAAGAGCACAAAGAAAAATTCTTTTACAATCGTCTGTTGACGTTTATGTGCAGTGGTCCTTCTGATATTCATATTTTAGCTGATTATGATGCTATTATTAAGTGGAGACAATTAATGGGACCCACAAGAGTTTACCAAGCACAGTATATTGCTCCTGATACTATTCGCGGAATGTTTGGTTTGTCAGATACAAGAAATGCAACACATGGATCTGGTATATCATTATAAATACAGCATCATATTTGGTCATGTTGAGAGTGAAAAATTATTTTTTCAGATTCAGTTGAATCTGCCAGAAGAGAGATTTCAATATTTTTCAAGGATTTTGATATCAGAAGATGGTATCAAAATGAAGAAAGATATTATAGTTTAGGACAGCTTCAGTTTGATCCAGTTGCGTTTGTACATACTATTGATAGAAATTTAATGAATAGAAATTGATAAGAAAGATGTGACAGAGTGAATACAAATAGAATACAATATTGCTCAATAAATTCAAATAAGGTAGAAGAAAAAGTCTTAAAAATTAGATGGTCAATTCATAAGGCAATGCTGTAGTTATTGGTGTAACTAAGTAGGGACTGAATTGAATTTCAGAATCCCGAAATTCCAGTTTTTCTGAATTAAGAAATTCTAAAATTTTAGAATTACAAGATTTTCTAAATGCACTAATTTATGCAACTGAAAACAATACGCACAATAATCATATTAAACATTTGATTATGTTACTAAATTTAAGAGACCTGGTCCATCCCATACAAAAATACTGGTAACAAAAAACGGTTGTAGTATATGTTTGTTAATTGTTTAATAATATAGAATGTTATTTATTATGTACAGAAATTTTATGTATACTTTCGCATCATTGTTAAATAAATAAAATTACTCGCCTACACATTTACACATAAATGTGCAACATATTAACAATTTATGCATTCATTTTTACATAAACCTTAGGTCTTGAGAAAACCTTTATTCCTTCTTCCAATTTATTCAGTTGTTTTTCTATTTCCATTTTCCGACGCTGTGCCCTAAGTGTGTCTACCTTTATTGGCAACATATTTAACTCATTTACAAATTCTTGGTAATCTGTAATAATAAAATACAAATATATAAAATAAAATTAATACAGCAGGATAATGTTATTAATTGGCTATTGCTAGCATAATCATTTGGTCCTAAAACATCCTATATAAATCTAATTTGTAGCATTGGTTTACACTGTTATCTTTCAAATACATACTCTTTCGTAACACACGTAATGTTTCTCTGCGTTCATCGTCAGGTAAAGGAACATGACCATCCGGGCAATTGGCATCTAGTTCTTTCGTCTTAGCTTTCTCTATTTTTTCTAGAGTTTCCTTTCTATTCTTAATGTACCTTAATGTAGCAAACAAATGGCAAAATACATAAGGAGTACAAATTAATTGGGTGCCTTTGAATTTCAAATTTTACGAATTCCAAAATTCGAATATACTTTAAAAATTACACAAACAAACATGAATGATAAATTAAATTTTTTAGCGTAAACGATTACACGCTATGAGCTTACTTTGGAACTACGCCCATGCGATAATTAGAAGCAGAAGTATTAGGTTTAGGATTGTTAATATTGTTACTATTAGTTTTACTAGCTATTTTACTAGTAGTAGAAGAATTTTGTTTATTTAATTTAATAAAATCAGTCTCTTCCTTAGGATTCTTTAAACCAGTTTCATTTTGCACAGGTGTATCTCCCCCTTCTGATGGTTTACCAATTTCCTCATTTGCCTCATTACAACTTAGAAATCTTTTTGAAGGATACCTAGAAACAATTTAATTAGCAAAAAATAAAAAAAATGTAGTTAATTCCAGTACATACTTTATGATCCCCTCAGAATATAAATTATCAATTTCTGTTGTATTCAATGTTTGAATACCTTGATTTCTGACTTCAGTTTTTAGATTATCTCTGACTGACGTGCAGGATAAGTTAGAGTCTGATAAAACTTTCCCATGTGATTTTTTTAGAGGTCTATGTTTATGACACTCCTTTTTTTGGTTAACTGACATATTGTTGTTAGTTGAACGCATTGGTTTCTTTGTACAACTAGCAGTTTTGGTTAATATAGGGGCACTGGATTTTTTATACAATTCTGATTTGTGATTCGCAGTACCTTTTGCATGAATAATTTCATGTTGTTTTGTACCAGGTTTTAGTAAACTATCTTCGTTATAATTATTATTATTAATTCTTTTTCGATTATGTATCTGTGATTTTTGTATATCATCCGTTGCTGTATTCACCGAAATTTTTTTCATACGATGTAGATTTTTCACATTTTCATGAATGAAATTTTTTCGCCTCACTGGCTCTAAAAATAGTAATTAAATAATGGTAATTATAATAACAATTAATACTAATTACTATCCAACATTACACCTTAGCGATTTGAATTTAAATAACAAAAATTGATTGCTTACTTAAGTCAGGAAAAATTCCTTTTAATGTCGTCATATTTACAAAACGCACTCTTGTTTAAACGTTGTTAATTTGTTTCTTTTCCAATTCGTAAATTAAACAACGTAATTTACATTTCGATTATAAAATATTTCCAAATGAATAATTTCTAACACATAATTTCAATTCCTTTACTGTCATTGTCGCCAAATAAACAACATTATTTACAAACGAGTGACACTCTGCATACCGACATGGCATCCGGGGTGTCAGGGACCCCGAAGCGCCAGTGACGCTCTGTGGACACAATCCTGAAATCATCATGGGGTGCTAGGGAACCCGAAGCAACGGTGATAGTCTGTATACAGACATTATGGCATCGGGGTGTCAGGGACCCCGGTGCATCGGTAGCGCTCTCTGGATACCGACCTGATGCCGATAAATTTCGCTACTTTAAGGGTGGGGTACTCTAGGAGCTAACGGCCCCTTTGTGCCATACTTTTACCATTTTTCGCTTGAGTCTGCGTGTGTGCGTCCCCTTTTAGTCGCCTCTTACGACAGGCAGGGGATACCGTGGCTGTATTCTAAGCCCCCCGAGCCACAGGGAGTGATACCGACCTGATATCATCTTGGGGCATTAGGAACCCCGAAACATCAGTGATACTCTGCATACCGACATTATGGCATCCGGGGTGTCAAGAACCCCGGTGCATCGATGACTATCTCTGCATACCGACATGATAACATCGTGGGGTGTTAGGAACCCCAAAGTGCAGACGACACTCTTTGCTTTGGTATTCGGGGTACCTGAGACCCCGAGGTACCGGTGACGATGCATACCAAAATTATGCCACCGGGGTGTCAGGGACCCCGAAGCAAATAGCGAAATATAAGACCTAAAAACGAACAAATCGTGAAACTTACTTGTTCGGAATAGTGATGGGTTTGACCGGATCTAGCGATATATAAGAACGAAAAACAAACAAACCCTGAAACTCAGTTGTTCGAGGTAGTGATGGGTACGACCGGATCTGTAGCGCATGCGCACTACAATTATTTATTATAAAACAAACTTATAGATAATTAAGAAATTATTCACTCACAAACAATGAAAATGATATATTTGTAAATCACAAACGATTTCCAATCAATTACAGTTATCAGTTATCATAAAATCTGTTTATTATAAAAAATTTCGGCTCACATCATGATTGAAATAAAATTGCTAATTACAAAAGAACTAATTTGTCAGAAACGTTAAAAATAGACTCACAATCAATCACAAACGATTTACAAACAAAATACACTAAGAAAAATTAAAAATAATTGTATTTTATTATTCCTTCCGGCTAGCTTCATGTAGGTCCCTGATTGTACCCTCTTCATACGGACCTGATTTCATCCAGGGGTATCAGGGACCCCGAAACACTGGTGACGCTCTTTGGATACCGACATTATGGCATCCGGGGTGTCAGGGACCCCGATGTATCAGTGGCGCTCTTTGCATATCGACCAGATATCGTCTTGGGGTGTTAAGGACCCCTAAACATCGATGATACTCTGCTTACCGACATTCTGGCATCCGGGGTGTCAAGGACCCCGATGTATCAGCGGCGCTCTTTGCATATCGACCAGATATCGTCTTGGGGTGTCAGAGACCCCACAGCTAAAATGTGCGACCCATAGACTTCACACTAGAGTCAGCTGTGTATGAATATATATATATGGTGTGTGTTAAATCCAAGTGTGATAAACCATTCCTTTAAAATTAAATGTCATTACAGAAGTAGTCTAACAAATTAATCCTTATGGCATCACCAGCTCCCAAATCACCAGAACAATCTGAGAGAAGTAGGAAATATGACAGACAATTAAGGTACAATCAGAAATTAACAAATAAGTAAAATACTTTAAGGTTAGGAAATTACAAATTAATTCAAAGTGATTTATCTTCCATTATTTCATAATTACTTATATATCCATAACTACAGACCTCTATAATGAATTATTCTAATTAATGGAATAATTGTTATTATACATACAGATTATGGGGTGACCATGGTCAGGCAATGCTAGAAGCAGCCCACGTCTGCCTCATAAATGCCACAGGTCTTGGAACAGAAATTCTAAAATCGTTGGTACTCCCAGGTATAGGAGCATTTACAATTGTGGACGGTAAAAAGATAACCAACGAAGATATTGGAGCAAAGTATATAAACACAAAACCATAATTAATCTAATCCATTCAACAATATCTTATACATAATAAATTTGAATAGTTTCTTTCTAGAGGCAGATAGTGTAGGAAAATCAAGAGCTCAAGTTGCAACTCAGATGCTTTTGGAATTAAATTCCGATGTGAGAGGTGATTACATCGATGAGGAGCCAGAACAACTTTTGTATAATAGCCCAGACTTTTTCAATAACTTTACCGTTGTTGTAGCCACTTCGCTTACAGAAAAGTAAGAAACACTTTCGGAGAAACTCGACGTTATGTTAAACAGAAATTTTTCAGGTCTCTGATCCTTCTATCCGAAAGATTATGGGAGTTAAATATACCTCTAATAGTATGCAGGAGCATAGGATTTATTGCATATATGAGAATCCAAGTGAAGGAACACACAATAATAGAAACGCATCCAGATAACGAAACTCCCGATCTACGTTTAGATAAACCATTCGAGTCGCTAAAGCATCATCTGGATTCAATAAACCTTGATGAAATGAGTTTCAAGGATCATTCTCATGTACCATATTTAGTAATATTGTACAAATACTTGCAGAAATGGATTTTAGAAAAAGGAGAATTACCGAAAACATACAAAGAGAAGCAACAGTTAAGAGAAATGATAAAAAAAGGGATAAGAAGGGAAGATAATGATATAGCGAATAGTGAAGAGAATTTTGAAGAAGCTATAAAAGCTGTTAATACTTGTATAGGTCCTACAGAGATTTCAGATAGCGTAATGAATATTCTGAACGATAATCAGTGTATTAATTTAACAGCAAAGGTATGAAAATGGAATATTAACACATTAATAAATTGTTTAACTTCAAATTGATTTAAAATATGTTTTCAGAGCAGTTCATTTTGGATAATTGCAAAGGCGGTAAAGGATTTTATTCAGAACGAAGGAGGGGGATTATTACCACTGAAAGGAACTTTGCCAGACATGACTGCTGATACTGAAAAATATATAACGCTTCAGCAAATGTAAGATTTATTTTGTATTGAAAATATTGTTCTTTTTATCATGGTTATGTTTATTGCAGTTATCATAAACAAGCGGCAGCTGATGTGGAAGCAGTATGGAGACGTACTTTACAGTTATTAAGGCAATTGGGGAAATCGTCGGATTCTATTTCTGAGAGAGATGTTAAATTATTTTGTAGGCATGCCTCTAATATACACGTGGAACGGGGAACGCGTATTGCGGATGAATATGATTCTAAAACCTTCGACGCGAGTAATATAGGTAATATTTTTCTAAAAAAAATTCATGGTACCCTCAATCATTCAAATAGTCGCGCCATTTAGTAGCACCGTTTCAAATGCAGAAAAGCGCGGGAAAATATTCAAATTCAAAATAGTAATTAAAAAAGGATAATTTTAAAGACTCCAAAATAATTGTGTAATTGAATAATTTTAGAAAAATTTTTCTAGTGCAAAGTTTAGAAAATCCAGAAAGTATGATGATTTACTACGTGGTTCTCAGAGGAGTTGAAAAATTCCAAACGGAATATAATTCATATCCTGGTGAATTTGATGACCAAGTAGAACCTGACATCGTTAAACTAAAAGTATGTTGTCTATGAAATATTCAGTAATAAACTTCTAAAGTCTAACTTTCGATTCAATCATTTTAGGCATGCATTACAAAACTGTTGAGCGAATGGGGATGTGGACCATTAGCAAAGGATGACTATGTCCACGAGTTTTGTAGATTTGGTGGATCAGAATTACATTCAGTATCAGCATTTTTAGGTGGCCTGGTAGCGCAGGAAGTTATCAAATTTGTTACGAATCAGTACAAACCGGTTCATAATACTTTCATATACGATGCAGTTACATCAAACTCAGAAACGTTTTTCTTTTAGTAATAAATATATTTCTGTAATAATTAAGAAAATATACGGTTTTATAGTTTACAAAGTTTTAAATATTGTGACCTGTGTAATATTTATTTTCTCTGAAAATGTTTGAAGTTTATTGAAAGTCAAGTTAAACGAGTATAATATCAACACTTTAATGTAGCAATTAGCTGATACACAAGTGGTTTCGTTCTTATCTTCAATAAACAACTATTATTAACTATTAATCGTAAGGCGTAAAGCAAATTAATATTCATTGGCGCAACTAGGATTTTCGTAAAGGCTGGACCAGGTCCTTTAATATTACCAATAGTAGCAAATGTTTAATAGAGTTTGGTTTTAACTTGATTTTAAAATTGTTTCGTTTATACATAATTTCACGTGACGAGGATATTATTATGTTTTGTTTTTAATTGCAGAACACATTGTATTTGAGGCGAAATATTTATTTATATTAAGATAACATTTTATAAGTGGATTTTAGAATCTGGGAATTTTAAATCGGTAAAGGGATCATCAGTCGAATTTTAGAAAGGACCAGGCCCACCCTGTTCCCTCCCCAATTACACCAACCTTAATATTTTATATCTTATAATCAACATTGTACGCAATTATTATTTTACCGGTGTTCTATTCTCAATAATAACTTAATAAAATGTGTTACACTTTGATTTTAAATTCCTTCCTTTTGTACGACATTAGTATTTTATATTATGTTACATTATGTTGTATTTAATAACAAATTAACTTGTATCCTAAGTAAACTAATGAACCATTAACTACGATTAAAGGTAATACGATATAAAATTCTTCCACATAAACCACTTCGATATCCTTAATCAAACATTCATTTCAATTATTTTCAACGTAACATTTTGATTTCGTTTATCGTAAAATGATCTGGAAAAGTTTGGATGCAGAAGTGGTAATGCAAAAGTTGCACAAAATGATTTTATTAATTATGATTAAACGCATTATCAACAGTACACGCATTGTACTTCACATACACACTTAGCACCGATAATACATGTAGAATTAGTAATAAATTATCCTTATATAATACAGAAGAATTTCTTGGTGTAGAGTGGCAGAAGAAACATTCAAATGCTTAATAATAATAATAATCAATGACAGGTAACCATTTTTAAGACATCAAGAGATAGAAACAATCACAAAGAATTTCATGACAAAAGCTGGAGAATAACATTTTGCAGTTTTATTAGGTGTACAAGTTAATTGTGTGCCTTTAGGATTACTATTTTAAATTTTCCGCGCTTCTGTGGATTTGAAAAGCGGCGCGCTTCTGTGGATTTGAAAAGTGGCGCGCTTCTGTGGATTTGAAAAGTGGCGCGCTTCTATAGATTTGAAAAGTGGCGCGCGAATATTTTAATAATTGGAGTTACTACGATTTCAAAAATAAATGTCTAATTAATAAAAATAAGACACAGAATTAATTTGTGCACATAATAGAATTACGAGAGAAACACCGGTAGAGGATTACAACAATTTTCGTAGTATACACGTTAAAGATTTTAGTTGTTAACTTTCATATTTGTTTAATTCTGAGTCGCATAGTTTGGTAATTAGTTTCGTTTTGGGTTCTATAAAAAGTATGCTTTCTATAAAAGTATGCTAAAACTTTTTGCTTTTATGTTTCGGGAAAGTAATAAAAATTTCTATGATAAAATTATTTACATAATTATTTTTAAGTTTGTATACAGTTACCCCCTCCTCTTTATAATCCCGAAAAAAAAAATAAAGTATATTATAAATGTATTTGGCTGATCAAAAAATTGTTATTTTTGAAACTATACGACTCTGCTAACTATTAGTGAAAGAGGAATTGGAAGATTTATACATATAATAAATAGAAGCTGAAAATCTTGAAAGCATAAGTCATCGATAAAGCCAGAAATAGCGCTAGATTTTTCGTGACAAACTCTTGATACAAGAAATATTAGTAATCTGTTATATAATTATTAATACTCTAAGTTAGGGAAGAATTTCTAATTAGAGTTTTAGGCAAAAATTATAATACAGCATAGATATAAATTTCAATGTGCAACAAGTGTTAACTTGAACTAGAATTATTTAGAAAAAAAAATGTTGAGTATTTTTAATGCTAACTATTAAGATTACTGCATCATGCTTGGAAAATTTTTAATTTTCGTTTCATTACTTAAGTATTACTAGTAAAAATGAAATAGATAGATTCTAATTTAGAAAGAAATATCACGACAAACACGAGCAGTAAATGATAGTATATGTTTTCATTATTAACTACTACCATTTGGAAGGTATTATTCTACCTTCGAGCAATAATTTTAAATTCATTTATTAGATATCGGAAAAAATTCGTGCGGATTTATAGTACGAAATTCAAGTGACCTAAACTCTCTCGAAACATACTTTCATTTAATAAACTGATCATCATTTATTTTTCTAACTCTTCTCCAATATTTTTCATAGTACATTCCATTAATATAAAAATTCTATTTGCAAAAAATTATGGAGATTGCAAGGTTTAACTTTGGAATAAATTAATATTTGAATTCTGTACTTTTGAAATTTTTAAATTAATAAATTTAACAGAATAACCACACGAACTTTTCCGGTACCTAATTGCTATTACTCGCTGTTTAGTATGAGCTTTTAATTGACATATGCTATAATAGATATTCCAGTATTTTCTAAGTATTTGTAGTGAAAGAATTTGAGAAATCAAATTTCAAAACTACTGAAATTTAAATAAATTTATACATGAAATGATTTATAAATTGGAAATTCAGAAAAGTTTTTAATAGTTTAAGAAAGTGAAACTCCTGGTATGTAATAGACAGGATAGGAACATTGGCGTAACTAAGATTTCTTTCTAGGGTGAGCCAGGTTACTTGAAAATTTTTTAATTCTGAAATTTTCATATTCTACCAATTTTTGAGTTCTGGAAGCTTTGAATTGTGGGTTTGGAATTATTTGAATTTTAAAATCCAGGGATTCTGGAATCTTACAATTTTAGAATTTGAAAACTGTGCGATTCCGAAATATTGAAATTTTTGAATTCTTAAATTCTGTAATTTTGATTTGTAGAATCTCAAAAATATCTTGGAATTTTAGAATAATGAGGTCAGTCTACATACGTTTTATTGAGGTGTCGCGTAAATTCATTCTATCCCCTATTCAATTACGCTAATGAGAATAGGAAGCAAAATCTCTGCAGAGTTAGTGAACGTTATTTGCAGCAGAATGATAATAAATTTGAATATTAGAAAGTGTTAGTATCGTACCGACTATTTTGGCTGCATCTCTCTTTCTATAAATTCGTATATCTACAACATAATATAATATATTTACATTAATATTCATTACACTCTTGATAAATGTGTATTTAGATACACTTATACGTCACTGAAATTATTTTGTGCATATATTTGTTATTGTAGTTCTTCTATTTTCTAAATATTTTTGAAAAGTTCAATAAATATTACGCAAATGAAATGTTATATTTCAAATTTCTGCTAATACTGGACCTTAACTAACAAAATATCATTTAAACTAAATATCTATTAACAACACACAATCCAATGTTGCTTTATCGTATTCTATTTTGATTAAAATTATTACAATATATAAAATTGCTTTTTCTTGAACGAAGACAAGGACATTAAAAAAAAAAAAAAGATTTGCAAAATCTTTTTTCATTCTCTTCATAAAATGTTTTTTCTCTTTTTTTTTTGTTTATCATTAATCGTATGTATCAACTGACTACTACTACTCGTGTTTTGACGAATTGACACGACTTAATATTCCTTCATAAAAAAACTGTTAGAAAATTGTTAAATACTGGGGCGATTGTGAAATTATACAAATTTACACGACGTTAACGATTCCTTCCTTTAAGATCGTGCTAATTTACTCTTGCTTATTGCTTCCTGATTTTTAAGATACAATAATTACATTTTGACTCAGCTAGCATCGAATGTAAAATATCAATCCTTCATTATCTAAATAGAATTTTCTTTTCCCTTCTCTTTTTTGTATACTTCAGAAGGCAAAGTCATCGTATTGTTTATCGTTACTAATATTTTGTTTCATCGTCAAATAGCCAGAAAAATTGAATATTTATTTTAGAATCTTATATATTAACTTTAATGAGGTTATTTAATTTATACAGTAACTATACGAATAAAAGATATAACTACAGTGGCCGCTCGATAAGTAGCCGCGCTAGAGGGTTCTAGAGGCGTACTTTTTTCAATCGGTTAATTATCGAGCGGCCAATTACACGCGCGCTATACCCTCCAATCAAGTGCTTACTTTCTCGTTGTAGCCATATGTGGTTGGGCTATTCGTATAATAAACGTGGCATTGTACAGTATTAAGAATGGAGGTCTCCATACGGAATAGGGTGCTCCAGGAGGAAAAGGCGCTACTTGAGTGTATATGTTTATCAGGGAAAATTTTATTTATGATTATTATCTGGAACTTATAGAATTTAATTCTAGAGTTATAACATTTCAAACGTTCAAAATTAATTTTTGAAAATTTAAAGTTTGAATTTTGTGGAAGTATTAATAATGGGCAATAGGGCCTTATCTTCCTACAACACCATATTTCCTAGGTAAACCCCCTATGTTTAATACTATATATACATATACATGAATTTTTCATTCCCTAACTTAGTAACGACAGATTAGGGTGTGCGCGCATGTACGGCTAATGCGTATGAGCGATGGGCATTCCTAACGGCTACTTATGTCGCGGCTACTTTAACGAGCGGCCATTGTATATAGTCTTTAACCTTAATTATTAATGAGCACAATGTGAATGAATGTACATCTTAAAAAGTATAGTAGATATACATATAGATACAAATATACATATATGTCGGTTATACATACATATTTGTATCTTCATAATACGTTGTCCTTCTGTAAAACACAATACTGCCTGTGTATTTAATTAAGCGCAAGATCACGGTGCATGCTCTTCGCTTGTATAATTGTTGCGTAGTTGTTTTTGAATAATCAATGGAACGAGAATAATTTCAAAGGAAATAATGTGTATCGATTATAAAAACGGGAAGCTTATGGGTGAAAGATAAGAAAAGAAAGAATATATAAACAAATTTAAAAATCCCGTCAACTTTGTTAGCCATCTCTACTACAAGTTGACATCTATATACATTTTTTTTTTTTGGGCATATTTTTTGAAACATATACTTTGCTTACGATGATTATGTTATTTAATTTAGAATAAATTATGAGCGATAAAAAACCGGCACAAATTACATATACGACATTACGTTTTTATAGCTAAAGTAATAAAATAAAATGTCGCGTATACATACGTACAATCCTAATCGCACAACTGTCGGGAAATTTCATGTATTGTGCTGGTTCCTTTTCTACGTGTAATTTCTTTCCTGGTTCGTAAGCGTACCCGCGAATTTACATAAAAATATTTAATCGCACACATAGCATATTCACACATGTACACGTGGCATTCGCAAAAATAAATCTCTAACAATAAGAATTCATGCGCGCGAGTGATAATCTTTTCGTCGAAACGTCCCTCCCCTACCCACAGAGATACAAGACTGAACCATACGCTCGGAAGAGAGTGCTATATAAAGGCTCCGGGCGTCCTTGTCTAACCGCGCATGCGCAGACGCTTGGCGGCGTTGCGCATAAAATTTGAAATTTTCAAAAGATGGAAATATATAAAATTATATTATAATTACACAAATTGTACTATAATTATATAAAAGTCTAACTAATCGCGTCTTATAAAATAAAATATAAAAAAAATATTTACCACGTTAATGCGCATACATGATTAGACAAAGATACCATTTATTTTATTCTTATACTTCTGTGATATCACCGTACCTTGAAAAGCAACTGAAAATGTCAATGAGTTTGATAATTAGGACAGGCTGAGATTTTATCCTTTTTTTAATGAAAAGATGGTTGACTTTTATTCTAGGTATACAAATTAATAGGGTGCCTTCTATTAATTAGGATTTTAAATTCAAATATTTTCCTGCGCTTTTATGCATTTAAGATCCTATTGATAAATGAAGCAATAATAATGTACCAAATTAATTTGTACACCCAATAATATATAAATATCAATAAAAAACAATTTGTGTATACAATTGTTATTATTATTTTTCCAATAACCTTTGTAGCTCGTAGATTTGTTATCAGTATAATAATAAAATACCTCACAAATAAGTCTTTTTCGGAATTAATAGATTCGTGACGGTATGTACTGAGAAATCATAAACAGAATGAAGAGTATTGTGTGTGTATAATATGAAATATGCCCCTGTGAACAGTTTAAAAAATTAATATCCCCTTTGAACTGCGTACACCGAAGACCTAATACATTTATCACAAACACCATCGAAGCTGAATTTTGGGACTCTTTACAAAATTCCGAATATATAATGATAATTTTAATTATAAATATCACTTATAGCGTCGAAGTAAGCGCTCGATCTCAGAAGAATTTTTCAGGTCACTCGTAATACACAGCACAGAGGGACTGGCATAATCAAAAACAAACTACGCTTCTCTTCTTAAAACCGATCCGTTTATGACACGGAGCGACTGGACTAGTCTTGCAGACTAGCTTGCGGTATGTGCAAGCGCCATGGGCCCAGAGACCCTGGACTGTTTTGGGTACCGGTCCAATTTACAAATGCCCCTTTATTTCTGTCACTTTAGAATAACGATTACGTTCATAAAGACATACTCCCTCGAAAACCTATCAAAACTTCAACTAATTTTTTTTTTTTTTCATTCAAATAAATATTGAAAAAGGATCACTAAAATCGAAGAAAATTAACGATACGAACTAGGGTTTTAATAAGTTTTCTAGTGAGCTTTTTAAATGGACGTTTCTTTATCAGCGTATCGTTAGCTGGCGGAACAATGATCAGACCGGTTCCCGAATCAGGTATGTAGATGATACGGTAATACTTGCGTAATAGCCCAGGGTCTCACTGAGCTTGTGCACTTGGATCGCACTGCAACAGTCGCACAATAGACGGGTCGCTTTTCGCACCCTCTATAAACTCGTCGAGCGACAATTTCCCATCCTTATTTTTATCCATCTGACGGAATATCTTGTCGGTTCTCTTTTCGGGGGTTGACTCGTCCTCGGGCATTTTCATCACCGAACCGACCATTTTGTAAATTGCCTGGAAAAATTAAACCTTACGCTACGTAAAATTAAATAACATTCAACAGGTGCCCGTATCCGGAGGTGTACTCGCGGGCAACTTCCTGTGCCCGTTCTCCATTTCTGCTGTGCATGCCTGATTTACACCGAGGAACGGAAAAATCGAATAATTACCGTGACAATTTCCAACATTTCTTGCCGCGAAATGTATCCGTTACCATCCAGATCGTACATGCTGAATGCCCACTTTAATTTCTGTTCCAATTTGCCACGGGACGTTACGCTGAGGGCGCATAGAAATTCTCGAAAGTCGATCGTTCCATCCCCGTTCGCGTCGAATGTTCTGAACACGTGTTCTGCAAACTGTACATTTTATGATCGTGAAAAGATTGGACGGGATATAGTTAATTGGAATACTACTGACCTCAAATTGCAACGCAGGCTACTACAGGATATGATTCAATAAATATTACTGCTAATTCATTCTTATCCCGGAGACAACTATACATATTGTTACCCCCGTTAGAAAATCATTAACACGTTGATTAACACGCATGAAACTTAATTCTTTATATTATCTATCGAATGTATCCAATGACGCACATGTTGCGTCTTATAAAGATATTATCAATTAGTAAGTATTAGGTACAAAGAAATGGTAGAAATGATAATCTACCCCTAATATTTTCTTATAATGATACTACTCGTTGATTTACCTTGGAAGCATCACCATAAGGAAAGAAGTTTCCGTATATCTTCTTGAATTCTTCCACGCTGAGGTGTCCGCTCGGGCAGTCCTTTAAGAAGCCTTTGTACCATTCTTGAATTTCAGCATCTTTAAAGACAAAAATATATTTTCATTAATATATTAGAGTGCGTTTGCACCGTAAAACAATTTTTATGGAAATAAACTGAGAAGTTACCCGAGAATTCCGTATTCTGTTTGAGATCCTCCAACACTTCTGGCTTCAGCTTGCTGTTCTGCTTCCCCATGGCTGATTCAAGTCCCTTTTAGAATTTTGTCGGCAAGTCGGAGAATTCAGTTAGTAGATAATTAAGGGCTAACTAGGTCTACTATTCTACTGGTGCCGTATGGAACAGCACTTCGTGGCTGGAACTTTTCACCAGACACGCCTGCAAAGAGAGAAGTATGTTAGTGTTTAAATCTACGTTTTCCCCGCAAATTCATTGATCCAAAATGATCGATCAACCCCGCAGGTCGGTAATTATATAAAAAATTGCAATTATAAAATATATCAAAATTAGAGAAAAAGAAATTGTTTCTATCAGTAGAATATATATTTATGCGTGAAAAATATTTTAATAAGATTATTTTCATTTTCTTTTTTGTTTTTAATCTTTTCCATTGAATCCATTTAGAAAAATTGAAATCTACCAAGATCGAATTAGCTTACCATAAGGACAACATTTACACGTCACAGTCATACACATTCACACAACTGTAACAGAAGAAAAAGATCATATTAATATTATTTCTCCAGGTATAAATGGCGAGACAAAGATAACAGGTGAAAAGAATAAATTAGACACATAAAAAACGATTACAACAATGATTACAACAACGATAACAACAACAACAACAACAACAATGATAATACATTTAGAGCATACTGTAGTTTATTATTATAATAATATTAATAATTATGATAAATGCGGTTTTCTTCGTTTGTGTGTCCATTTCGATTTGCTTCAACGAAATCTTAACAAACATAATATTGTTCACAGAAATTCATTTCGAATTATGATCAAAGTCTCTTGTGCGTTCAAACGAAAAGAATGAAAATTTAATGAAAAGCTCCATTCTTAATGGAAGAGGCAATCTCTATTTTGAAACAACTTTTTCACGTTCGTATAACGACCAAGTATCGAAGGCTTAAAGACGTATAGTGAAATGAATAAACTAATAATTATTATTGGATACAAATAATGCCGACATTTCTCTGTAACGTCAGGATCGTTGGTATGAAGATATTACAATTGTTTGCGTTGCGTTTAACAGTGCACTACAAAATTTGTGCCACCGATAGACAATACTGATTGATTATTCAATTATTTTAGTATTTCGTTTCGTGCCTGATTTGCAATGTTCATTCTTAGGTCTAAGCGATAATCAAGAGTGATAAATCGTAATTGATTGTTTTCTTTTGTAAGACAGACGATTGATACGATAGTCGGATACAGGGTCACTTCGACCCATAACAATATCGTTATAATTTTACAACAAAGTTTAAAACGTGTTCAAGTATCACAAAGTATACACATAGGAATAGACATAGAGATATTAAATTAATAATTGCAGCCTCACATCTTCACAGTTCAAATTTTTCTTTCTTAACACGTTCAGCCGGGTGTCATCTTATAACGCCACCCCCATTCATTCACCACGTTCACAATTTTACGACATCCCTGCTAAATGTGTTAATTACATAACATTGTTCGATCGACGATAACAAGACTGGTTGTTTCAATGGTTCTTCAATAATCAATTACGATTTCAAACAAGTTTCCTTACGTAAATCACTTTCCTTATAATTTTTCTTTTGGTCGAATGCACTATAATTAATTACATTTGGACGTTGGGATAGACGGAAAACATGAAGAATTTTATTTTATTTGCCAATTTTATAAATTACGATTTATTGTGTGACATTGAGGCCATTCAACTATCATAAGCCGATGTATACGATTTTATTGTGACATTTACACATGTATTACATACATCAATTGTTTTTCTACTCATTTTCTTAATCATTTGTATTCAAGAAACAAACGAGAAACATACTATTCAACAATTTTGTACAACATACAAATTTCAGATAAATGAACATTTTCACAGAAAATATCGCTGGGTTGCTATAATTATTTTAATATTACTTTCATATAAGTGAGACATGATCAAGCGTTAATTAATTTAAATTTTCACTTTCACGTGCGATTGAATCATACAAGCTCGATGTGATTGATCTTATTTATTTAGCAAGTAAAAGTTATCCTGAAAGAAAATCTTTTAAAAAATTTCAATTTCAATAATTAACACGATAGTTTTATATATAGAAGAATGTTAAATGAATAATTTGAAATTCTTGGCCCGTGGAAAATAATTAATTAATTTCTCAACTTGATAATTTATGTCACTGCTGGTGATTAATTTAAGTTTTAGATGAATTCATTAAGTTTCGTAATGGTGCCTCTAAGTTTGAAATTTATAAGGCAATTAAATGCAGAAACAAGCGAGAACCGCTATAAATAATAACTTTATATCGATGAAGGAGTGTACAGCACCGAGCATCGTGAACTTTACGAAAACTGGAGGAAAATCTAAAGGAAAAATCATCAAAAAAGCTCACTGCTCGCGATAGGTTTACCAGGGAAAAATTGATTAGTTTTTTAAATTCTGTATGAAGATTAATTTCGAAAAAATTAATAGTTTTTAATTATCAAATATTATAAAATTCAATCTTCTACATTTTACCTAGGGAGGTCCACCATGCTCGATACTGTACACAAACCTGGCGAAAAGGGTTGAAATTTCAAGCATTGAATCATTAGAGGCTTGTCCACACCTATAGACACTGTCTTTAATTTATCTATGGACAATTATCTATAAATCTGAACGAATCTTAAAGAGACACAAAAGAGTTTATTTATACAGCTCTATAAATAAGAGCCTTTACGTATAATTATTTTCAGATAAGTGTACCAGCAAAGAGAGTGAAGAATTACATTTGAATTTTCATTAAATCATATTAACCACTATGGTACAGTAACCTCGGATTTTTGTATGCTACTATATACTTCGGAAATACACGTGATCCTATAGATCCTATATATTAAATATCTTGAGATTCTATATGTTAAATATTTCAATTTTAAGAAGCATTTAAAATCAAATGTAACATTACATTCTTCCATAATCGTGGATTTACATACATGTATAAAATACTTTCAGCTAACGACACCGTGGTCAATAAGCTCTGTCTAATTAGATTAGCATAGTCATTTTTCAACAGTGATTGTTGCATGTATTTGAGCATAATTAATCGTAACCAAAAGCTGGAATTTTCAATTTTTTTCTTTTTTACCCAATCCAGAATTTTTGATGATTTAAAAAAAAAAAAGAAAATTGTATTTTTTTTTCTTTATATCCTTGCCATTATTATCTTATTTATTTAGTATGCTGTTTTGCGCTATACATAATATTATTAGATAGAACTATACAGATGGAGAATCAGAACTTCGGACGAGATCGGGAAAGATTATCCCGCTATCCATCGTTCGATGGTTAATGAAAGTGCGAGGATACCTTTTAAATAGGTTCATGGAAATTCTGTTGCGCGTTGAATTGACTAGAGACCATGGAAAAATTTTTCATTTCCTTTAAAGGATAGATGAATAGATTACATGCTTATACAAAGTAGTATACCATTCTTTTTATCTTTTATTTTTTTTTTTTTCATTTTCTTTTTAAACATGTATATTCTAACTCTAAAAAGTTTCTAGCAATATCAAAAAGAAACGGATAGTTTCTATTTTTTTAGATTACTGGTAGTTTTGAATAGTTTGAAAGCTAATATTTGGAATAAGCGATCGATGCAAGAAATGTTCAATAAATTGGTCGAACTTATGAAACAGTGTTAAACGATGCGACCTTAAGTCTTCGTTCGAAATCTTTCGAATAAGTTAAGAATTATTGAACAGCAGGCTTGATAATGAAAGAAGAATAAATAAAACGAGTTTCATTTTTGGTATTACAAATTGCAAGATTTTACAGCTGCAATCTATAAGTAAGAAGTATTGTAGAAAGGAGGAGTTGGGGAAATGGAAGGAAACAGTGTGTACAGTGTCGAGCATGGAAGGTTTCTTAGGAAAAATAACGATATGGAGAGTCGAAAACCTTTTGAAATTAAAAAATCTAGATTTTTGAACATCGAAACTTTAAAATTTGAATTTTGAAATCTAAATTTCAAGATCCTTCAAAATTTAAAATATAATATTCTGAAATATTTTGATCAGAATTTTGGAATTTTAAAATTATGAAAGCCTTAAAATTTAAATTATTCATTCGCCATTATATCTCTAAAAGCCCACCATGATCGGTATTGTACACTTTCAACACATTCGAGGTCTTTCTGTTCCCCTGTTATCATTTTGATAATTTTTTAATTGCTGACCGATAACGTTAATTTCTTCACAAGACGCACCTGCTGCGTCATAGACATTTCACCGATCTGGAATGTGTTAATAAAGTGGAAGTGGAATAGGATATATTGGGAAGACAAAATTGAAGGCGTAGAAAAATATAAAATAGCATAGACTGCAAGTATAGCGTAGAATAATTCAGTTTCTTGTTCGCATCGTAACCATAATTCTCCTTGTTCAATGTATCGTGTTCCTTTTAAAATCTTTTTTAATTGAATTGACAGTGTTTTTGCATTGTTTCTCACTACGAAGTAACTGAACATTTCTTCAATTGGTACCTTGCATTTATTCCATACATTTTTATCACGAAATTGTTGCAATTTAAAATTCACACCGTAGTATATCATTTAAAATTTCTTTTTTCAAAGCTTTCAAGCGTTAAGTAAAATCTTGTTAAAAACTAAACGAAGTTCATAGAAATGATGAAATGATCCTTTTAAAATTTTAACGTCACGTGCAACTTCATCAGAGACCGAGAGATCAATAGGTCTTTGTATAGCGTTAAAAAGATCTTTTTTACTTTTTAATTTCCTTCGTGAAACGTTAATGAGGTTATTGCTTTAAAAATATTCAGGAAAATATAATCCACCCACGTTACTGAAATTAAAAGTAGTTAAAATAAAAAAAATAAAAAAATAAAATAAAAAACTAGAACCAAATTTTTTTGGTAATTCATGGAATTTAATAGTTTTGTCAATAAAATTAATTGTTCCTTCAATATTGCATGAAGTTCAAAGATGGAGATCTTTGTTTCTATATAATGCACTTTAGGTTCGTTCTTAACACGTTCAGGCCAGGAGAAAAATAATTTCCTTCGGTGTCCTGGACAAAACTGGATGAGAAAAATTTCTGTAAATTAAACGTGACATCTTATGATGCCACCGGGACGCGGTGTCAGTTTGACATCTTATGATGTCATTCGGACGCCAGGCCAACTTTCCATCTCACGATGCCTTCTGACCTGAACGCGTTAAGCTTTATAAAACTCTGTTCACCTATGTTCACTGACTCGTTCGATAAGGAAACTTATTATTTCGATTGTCAATGCTGCACTTTCGGGTTTGAGAAGAATTGCGATGTTCTGTTCTGCATTATTGGATCCAGCACGCCGGAAATCAAGCGAAAGATTACGAACAGACTATTGGTTAGCAAAATGACTGATCAGAATTGTGGATAGTACGTATGTACGAACTATATTTATGTATTTTTTTTTTTTATTTTTTATTTTTTTTACTTGCATATTTTGGCTACCGGTGGCTCGTGAAATAAAGAAGGAACAGCGCAGTAGAACATCACGTTTTTCTGACACACACGTCAAGATTTTCTAGAAAACTAACACCGTGTCTAATATCCTTAACACTTTGCGGTACAGTTTAGTTTTCCCATTTTCCATTCAGTCTGAATAGTGTCGTTTGGATTGTGGTCATTTTAGGGTTTTTTCTTTTTTCTAAGTAGATAGTATAGTTGAATGAAAGCAAAATTGTATATTAATTATGCTATTAAAATATTCTTAACCCACTGACAACCCTGCTGCGCGTAAACCGGTTAAGTTAGGTTCTGGTTCTGAACGCGAAGGATTAAGTTAGATTAAGATTGGCTTAGGCCCGCAGACGATACACGTTGACACTGATGGGTCAATTGGGACTCGAATATGCAGTGGACTTTCCTAGGGAAAATTTATTTTATCACCAATATTTTTTGAAACTATATTAATTTTGAGGACTCCTTCATTTGCCATACAGCTATATCTCAAAATGGCATACCAGTACCCTCAAACGTTGGTAGGTCATCAGTGGATTAATATAGGACCGCAAAGGGTTAAACCAATAAACATCTTCGAATCTCTAATCTGTAGCAAATTAGTATAGGTGTTTCTTCTATACACCGTGTTCAATACTATATACATATTTCCGTATAATATATTTAATACAGTAGAACCTCCATTATCCAAATATTCATCATCCCAGGATTCACTTTTTCTCTTTTGTTATTCACCTAACATTATTCTGTACTAGACTATATCGTTTAGGACATCCTGTATAAAAATAAATAAATTGAAAATAAGCATAGGTACGTTCCATTATCCCAAAAATTTTCCTATTTAAATTCTGTCGTGTTTCTTTTTTTTTTTTTAAATTCGAATAATGGAGGTTCGAGCAGCGATGCGTTTTCGTGAGACTTTTTGCTAGCAGGTTGCATGTGCATACTATAAGTGAGATTACAGCCAGGGTAAATTATGCATATAAGTAATGTATACAGCTGTGGCATCGCGTAATATCCCCAGCTGCAATGTCAGTTATGCAGCTGCATGCAGCTTCCTAGGCAGTGTTGGTGCATCCTACGAAAGTGCATCGTTCGGTGCAACTGTGGCGTTACGTATAGAGATGTGTCGTGCACGTGAAGTATACGTGCACGACGAAACGACAGGTTGTTTAAAATTGACTGAAATTGTGGTATGGATCTGAAGCAGGTTTACGCAGTGCGAGAACGCGAAGCGAAAAATTTCGTTTCACGAACAGGCAATGATATGTACTTAATCTAATACGTAATTTATATACTTCAATTGCACGGATGTTATTTTTTTTCTTTTTTTGCAGATTAGTAGCAATAGGTATCTAGATTGTAAATCTTTTTCGACCAAGTCCTAATAAGTAGACACTCTCTATCGATGATTTATAAATTCATAGAATTCTAAAGTACGTTATCAACGATCCTTGCACGAGAGGACAAATTGTTTGCCTAAATACATTGACCTAATCGTAACCGCGCAAATTGGTCGAATATTATTCCTAGTTAATATCCGTCTATTATTGATTGAATTATAATTAGAAAAAAAAAAAAAATGAATTCACTATTTTTTATTTTTTGCCTATTTCGAGAAAAATCACGACCCAAAGTATAAGAAGAAAATTAATAAACTCTGAATAAAAAATAAGATACCTGCTTGATCTTTACACGCAGAATCATTAATGACTCTATATATATTTACATTTTTGATTCCCTTGAAACTGAATGTTTCAAATTAGACTAATTAAAAAAATGAATTTTTAATACTCTTAGCAGTACCTATTACCGTGTGCCGTACTAGGTATAGCTGTATCTACTGCGGCAGTCAGCGCGTTAAAATTGTGCCTCTGATTAACGAGGTGGGTCATCCGTGACCTACGTGGCACCTGTACGTAGCTTCGAAGAGACAACATCGTTGCTATCTATAAAACTTCTTTAAAAGCGGATTTCCACTTAAATAAAATGAAATTTAATTTGAATATCTGAAATCCCCGACAAGTGATAAAGAAAAGTAGCGAATATATGAAACAAAGAAATTTTCATAAGCTACTAATTTATTAGCAGCTACCTGCGTTAACGCGTTCGATGCTCCTCACGCGATATCGCGTGCCCAGTCCGTCAGGTTTCAATGCGACGGCACACAGCGAGCAACTCGTTTCTAAGGATTCGGCATCGAACGTGTTAATTAATAAAATTTCTCCGACACCATACATCGTATAGATTTTCCCTTGTAGGGGTCAAATACGTACCATTTTGTTATTTTCGCAAAAACACATTGCTGTATGCCCTATACACGTAATAGTATAAATATTGATCATACGTAATATAATGTTTCACGTGATATACATATTACACAGAATTTTGCTAAACACGTATTAATATGACAAGTAATATACTCGACTATATATTACATGACATATATTATATATTCATTATAGTAATCGTAACATTGTGCAGTACGTATAAAAGGACCTTGCACGTGCATCGTTGAGAAAAATCAAAGACGCACGCGCAAGTGATTTTAGTTTTCTTTTTTCCTTTTTTTTTTTTCTTCATGGAAACTGTTTGACGGTGTATTTGAACGAATATGAACGTTAACCCTTTTGCATCGGAAGCAGATTTTGGTAGAAATTTGAAACTAACAAATTCCAAGGAGTATAGTGATTTTAAAATCATTTCTGTGGTAGAGTTAGGATAGAAATAGCCTGCAACTAGTGGATAGACCATTTTAAAACATTCCATAGAATTCTTCTATTATTCCATAGTATTACCATTAATATACTATATTCAATAAAAATTTCAATCAATAATAATAATTTCAATTCTTGTGCTACTCCAATAGACAATTATCATTTTACTATTATTCCAAAGTCTAGTATTCGAATCTATAGAATGGAATGCTCATAGAAAGAGAACGCTGCATAAAGGACCCTCGAGTCCTTATGGTTACACAAAGAGACAAGATGTCCATATTTAACGTCCTCTTTGTGTTTCTAAAACATTTGGACCAATTCAAGGAAAATTTTAATTCAACATCTTATGACGTCAGAAGGACGAGCTTGACATCTTAAGACGCCATCAGGTTAGAACGTTTGAAGCTTTGAGAAAAGCTCCGTTCACCTACGTTCACTTATTTATTATACACATTAGTCTATCAGGAGCAAAGGAAATGGTTGAAAGAAAAAAAACAATCAGATACTTTCTTACCCTGAAAACGATGCAAACGGGTTAAATGAATGCATACAGAAGCGTAAGACACAACGATAACAATTTCTAACAGACTTATAGTGGTGCAACGAAAGAGTTAACAGTTCAATCGATCACTTTTACGTCCATATTTATCGTAGTAGCAAAACAGCATTTCAACAGTATTCGTTGTGTCACCCTGATGTCACTCGCTGAACGTCACCCATCATCACTTTCGCCCTCGTTGTTCCAATATCAAAAGGAAATGCGTTTGCCTTACCATTTTTGATCACGAAACATCCGTTAAAGTTCCACTATTACTCGACAATTTACAATTAAGGTGAGTCGTAAACTCGATGCGTCTTCCTCGATGAAGCTATCATTCTCCGTTGGAGGATGTTTAAGGCTGACACTGTGGAAGCTTCTTTTCCCTCTTCGTATCATCTTCGTTTGTATTTGTCGTTAATCGAACGATTCGACGATTTGGTTCGAGTTTATGCTCGCCAAGCGAACGTTCTTCGAGTCGCATTGGCTGCATGTGGTATGATAAGAAAACGTGTATGTTTGTCCGATGTTGCCCGTTTAGTATGGTATCTCTTTTAATAAGGTGGTCCCGAATGAAGGTGTACGAATTAGGGGGCCAGCATTTTAGACAGCTCTTCGTCTTGAAGGCAACCCTTCAGAAATTCATCTTGAGTCAACTGACCATCGTTATTCTCGTCCATTTTTGCGAATATGTTCTTCGCTCTTTCCTCCGCACTGTCTGCCGGTCTGTTGCTTGAACACGCGCCCAGCATATCGTATATTGCCTGCGAACAGATAAAAATTCCATCCGGAATTTTTTAGTTCGAGTCAATTTATAAGGTCATTTTAAGATACAGAAATATCTGTGAAAATTATGAAAAATAATTTTTTACACCATGTATATTAGCGAATAATTGAAGGAAAATGTATGAATAAGTGCATGTGGGTAATGATGCACAAATTTCTCGCGCGAATCAGGGAACCCAATTAGTAACGTCGCCTAATTATCTATAAAACTGCTGACGCCTCCATTCGCTGTCGGATTGTTGGAATATTTTTGAAAGCTACTGTACCGTAGCTACAGAAATGCATGTATGCCTAACAGAATCATTGTTAATGGACGCAAGCAGGTCGATTTATAACCCCTCCGATGCAACCTCTCATTATCGTTCCGGTCACTGATTACACCCCGTTAAACTGTATTTCAATTTAACACTCCGACCTATTTGCATGGAACTGAGAATAATTATCTCGTGACGTGATTTTAATAATACCTGGTTTACCGACCAATCGAGGCTTAATGAAAAATTCAATTTAGAGATAGTCCAAGGAGATTAAATCTTACAATATTAATTAGAGTCTTGAATATTATGAAGGAATGTTTTTTTTTTAGTTTGATAGGTATAAAATTTGATAAAGACATTTTATGTAAATTAGACAAATTTTTATACATAGTAAAATTTATTTTATATTTTTTAAGAATTATTAGAAAATAAAAACATACCTGCACAATTTTGGTCATTTCCTGGATGTCGATCACACCATTCCCATCAACATCGTACATGCGGAATGCCCATTTCAACTTTTCCTCCGGCGTTCCGCTGGATGTAACATCGATAGCCAATAGGAATTCCTGTAACAAAAAAAGGAAGAATTGTGCCCTGTGTATACGACACAGTATTCACTGCGGAGTTAAAACAACGATGTACTGATTTTTTTGGGTAGTCGAACAGTTTTACATCGGGGTTCGTTAAGTGTTTTCTAGTATGGTCGTTAAAGATACAAGCGGAATTGTGAATTAGGTCAGCTGACGCCTGAGGTAGACAAACGACGAGAGTTTGAAAGAAGCAAGTCGAGGGCGAGTCGGCTCTTTGCTCTTCCTGACCTCTCAAGTGTCACCACTTCTCTTATTGACCCTATCGACGTGCCGGTCCCTTTTGGCCAACTTCTGCCATCGGCTACTTTTTTACTTCCATCCGTGTGATCGCTTTTTCTAAAGGCCTTTCTTCGAAGAATTGTATTCTCACGAAGCAACTGGAACACCTACTGTATTACGTGATACTGTTGCCTTATGGTTCACGGTAAGCTAAATAAAATATTTCGCAATGTCCATATTAATTTTAATAATTTTTCATTAATAATCCATGATTTCGCAGTCAAATTAGGTTTCCTTAACGAAAATCATGATGCATTCGGTTCCCACTCTTCCTCCTAGGGAAAGGGGGAACTAACTGCTCTTTTCGGCCAGGAGTCGGATGCCACGCCCCTTTGTCCCCACCACTCGCGATGCGCCGCACGAGGGCCTTAGTCCCCGACGCCCCTCAGGAGCGTACCGTATGAATCGTACCCCATGGGTGATGGGGAAATCCTCCGAGGAAAATGACAATGTAGCGAAAGAGGCCCTATCAATATACGACCAGAATATCGCCCCCTTTAGCGGCTTACACTCTTTCTGGGTCACCCTGTATAGGCCTCCCAGGGCCTCCCATTACTTGCGTTTGAATTAATATTTATTTTCTCTATGGAAGCCTGATTCGATCACGAATGCCCATATAGTAACCCTTCAGTATTATAGCGAATGGTGAGGCTTTTACAGATCTGCATCATTAAAGGGAGAACAGTGAAAGGAAATGAGAGACAGATTCGAAAGGGAGCGCCCTTTCAGAAAAAGATTTAAATACACCGTTCCAAATAAAAGATTAAATGTGTGGGATTGAGGGCACCGATTCACGCGAGAGGGATTTCCCTAGATTCTTAAGTAATTCATGGAAATTCCGAAAGATTCAAAATAGCACTTTAAAAGATCCCCCGAAAAACCCTTTTAAAATTTATAGAAATTTAAAACTTTAAACGATATTCAAACCCCTATAAAGGTCAGGAGGATATCGACGAAAAATCATAGGTCGTGTGTGTTCAATGAATATTTCCAAACCATCAAATGTTGATCAGTCGGGGATGAGCTTTGATCAGTGATCCGTCTTAAATCGAGGCCGATAAAGGCCATAAGCGCATAAAATCATGGATTTATCAAGCTCGGTTCGAGCCGTTGGCTGGATGGTCGATGGATGTAAGTATATATATAATACGTTTCCAGCCGGCGTTTAGTGAGACACATTGTGCTCGCAACAATGGACTGACAGTTTCACGTTATCCTTTACACTTGAACAGAGGCTGAACGATGAATGCAATTCACGTTTACGGGAACAACACTTTCAACCGTACAATATTTTACCTCGATCGTTTGAAACGTTTGCAGAAACACCGAGAATTTATCATAATAGCTCGTGTTATTCTGTTCCAGTTTGCTTTACTGTTCGAATATTTTCAATTTACACAGCAATCGTTAATTTATTTTTCCCGTCGATTAATTTTATTTTTTAACATTTTAGAGAAGAATAAACCTTAGTATTTTTCCGATGAATAAATACCGTCGATCATTCGACAAATTCTTCTTCAATTTAAAGATGAAATTAAATCTAGCAGTAAATGTAATTTCTATGCGAATTGGTGTATTTCCTCGAGTTTCAACGGCGCGATATTCCGTTGAGAACGCAGTATAATATCGTCGATCGACAGGAGTTGATGCGATCAGGTTTAATCGTTCGGAATAAACGATGTACGAGAGAGTTCTACCTCCAGGAATAGTGCATTATTCCATTGAGTAGGTAACGCAATAGTAGAGAAAAATCGATTGGAAGGAAGGACTTACCTTGAAATCGATGTAGCCATTCTTGTCCATGTCGAATGTACGGAAGACGTGATCACAGAATTCCTCCGCGTTGCCAGAGGGGAAGAACATTTTGTACATGTCGACGAATTTCGCCGGGGTTAACCTACCGTTCGGGCAGTCTTGCTGTAACGTAACGAAAATCAATAGTATTATTTTCGTTTATATTTGGACAATGAACTATCTTAATCGGTAATGTAGCAATAGTTTACTGCTCTTTTCGGCGAATTTTCAAAGGCTACGCCCCTTTTCTCCCACCACTCGCTGTGCCCCGCGCGAGGGCCTTAGTCCTCGAGGCACCTCGAGCCTTTACACTCATATCGATAGGTTTCCGTATTAACCATGGGCTACTGATGTGCCGCGGGGACTAAGACCCTCGCGCGAGGCGCAGCGAGTGGTGGGGGGAAAGGCCCTCGCGCGGGGCACAGCGAGTGGTGGGGGGAAAGAGGCGTGGCCTCTGAAAACTGGCCGAAAGGAGCAGTTAATTCCGAGCCCTGCCTTATGGGGAAAACTCAGTCCTGTCAAGTATCGGTGATCGGATCCGAGTATCGTTTGAAATGGTTCGTCCCTTGCCTGTTCCAGGGTTTTTTCACATTACAAATTTTTACGCATTGTAATAAACCTAGGGTGGCGAAGGAACATGGCCAGATTGTAAACTAAATTACGTAATCTTAACAAAGAGTTTATCGCAGATCAATTTAAATAAACTTTTAAATAAACTTTATGATATCATAAAAATGGGGTTAACAAGCTGGAGTTCTTTAATGATTTTATGCAATTCGAACAAATGGTATTTATCCATAGATATCCTCTATAAAGGCTCTAAAGGGAAGAAAACACGGAGTATCTTTAACGTTGGACGATAACTGGTTTATCAGGCACAAATCTGATTCAATTGGCGAGTACTCTCCATCTCGGTGGATCCTCTTGGCTGTTTATTCGATCAAATAAAAAGAAATAAATCCGCGTTGGTCCGACGGATGAATCAGTTTTCATCGCATCTTCAGCAGTCCTGGCTAATTGGCCTTTAAAGGGAATCTAACTATTTCGAGGGAAAACCGAGGCTACTCGAAAAAGTTTCTTGGATTATTCGAAACAGCTCTCGAGCGAAAGCCGCAGTTCGCGCAATTAATTAAACTATGGGAAAACTGTCGTTATCCCCGGCACATTCTTCGATTCCTCCCGCATTTCACGCGAACTTCCGACCATTTCGCAGCTCGGACACAAACGAATCCTCTCCCACGAGTCCGGAGTTTCGAATTGAAATAAACGATCGCTTGTCTCGCTTTCCAACAACACCGTTTCAAAAACGTCCAAGACAGACGGCGCTTGTGGAAAGGTCAATCAGATAGAAGGAATTGGGAGTGGCAGAGTTTGAAATGGTTCGATTTGCACAAGGTTATGTCACCCATTGCCTTTAGGCGATACATATCTTTATTAGCTTGTATATTAACTTTCCCATCTCCTATCCGGTCTATATGAACCACGGTAAACATTACATTTTCTTATGTAACTGAAATTTTGAACTATTAAAATACTAAAATTTCAATTTTGGAATTTTACATTCTGATATCTAAAAATTTGGATTCTGAATTTTGGGGCTTTAGAACTGATAATTAAAAATTGGAATTTTTGAAATTTTGTCTTTTAATAATAAGGACTATGTTATACTCACTTTAAAGCCTTTGTACCATTCCTTTATAGTCGCTTCATCATATCTTGTGTGTGATTTTAGGAAATCCATGTCCTCTTTGCTTAATTTGTCTTTGCTCCCAAAACAACCCATTTTGTAATCTGTAACAATAAACAATAAAATTCTATATTATTATCAGTTCTGTATATTCTGGCCATTATTTATGCTATTAGTATTCTGTAATCGTACTATGTGTGTTGAACTATTGAATATTAGAATTATTTCTCTTTATCTATTTAGTATTTACAACGTCAACTTAAATATCGACGCAATTATATTCTAACAATAAGTGACAGAGAAAGAAGTCGTGAAAAGCACAGCACACGTAAAGAAACGGACAGAAATGGAGAAGTAAAATAATGTTGTAACGAGTGGTCGATACGCGGCTCGAATAGAAAGAGCTTCGAGAAAGCAACCCGGCCGTCTTTAGTCGGGCTGTTTCATTGGGTAGAAAGAGTTTCATTTTCCACGTGCACAGAGAGGAAGCCAGGGTGCCTCGTGACTAGATTGAAAATTAGATTTGATGGCACATGATGATAGCTAGAAAAAATGGTGCTTTCATAGCTAAAGTCATTCTTATTTTTATATCAACAAATAGTAATAATGATAGGAATTTTGATAATTTAGAATGTTAGAATCCTGAAATTTTGAAATTCTGAAATTTTCCAAGTTTGAAACTTTGGATGTTTAGAATTTTCCAATTTAAAAATTTTGAAACTTCGAAACTTTAGACTTCTGAAATTTTGAAATTCCAAAATTTCCTTACCTATTTAAGCCAATAATTAATAGTAGATACAATAAATATAAAGCTAAGATCAATGTTAATTTACACCTCATCCACAATTTATGTTGATCAATTTTCGAACTTTAATTAAACAGTGAGCCTACATCAAAGTAAAAGTGTTTGCACGATAAACGACTGTACTATGGTAGGATTCTTCAAACACGTCGTACATCAGAAAACAGTGCCTTGTACAGTAGTAATAGAGGGACGAGAAGAGGTCGTAAAACGCGACGTAAATGTAGGACGAAATTAACACAACGCACACACTGTGAGACCTTGTTTTTGTGAAGAAGACACAGATCTGTGTCAATGAAATTGTGTTTGTTTCCTCAGCTATTTACAGGATTAAATTCGTACTCCAGGGATTAATGACGCATTCAGTACAGATGTACATGTATATACATATAATTTTAATTACAGAGATAGCATGATGATGATATTCGAGGGAGATCACTTTATGTTATCCTTTGAATGGTGGACCATTCAGATAATGACTATCCAAATGTAATTTTATGTTCAATATTATTTTCATTTTTATTGTGCTGATTAATGTATTAATTATCTTGGGAAATTTTCAAACGTTTTAAAAGTAACTAGCAATTAATTGTATAAATGTAGTTTTCAAATTTCAAAATTAAAAATTTCCAAATTTCTAATTCAAAAATTTCAAACTGATAAATTCAATGTCAAAGCCGCCCTATATTCAACCATTGCATCAGTTACAAAGCATCTATCTTCCAAGGATTAATTCAGAACTGTCTGAATGAATAATCCCATGATTTAAGATAATTGTACGATAGGAGAGCATGTGTAACATGGTTCGTAGTATTATGTGAACGTGAAGTGAACATTATGTAGGATTAATACATTCACCCGGTAAATGGGATCATATCTACGTTCAAGCTCATTAAATTCACCGTGGAACGATGCTTTATTGTCGAATGACAATGTAATCCATAAGCGAATGCAATGTTATCATACATCATCGAAGACAAACTGTTATGGCAATCTTGAACGAATTGCAACTGTGGTGCACAAACGTACTAACCATTTGGTACGAACAGAATGCAATCTGTCGTGCTGATTCTTATCCATTTAATTAATATTTTATGCAAATTTTTCACTTAAAAATTTTCAAATTTCCATACCTTTAGATTCGTCAATTTTTTAAATTAGAAATATTTGGAAGTATAGAACTTGAAAATTTGGAAAATTTCAAATTGAGAAATAGTTACTCATCAATTGTTGATACGACTGTAAATCCAATTGCACTTTGTAAAACGTATACACAGAGCTGGTGGCAGTCAAAGGATTTAAAAGATCCATCGTATTGACAGCACCAAGACGAAAAGAGGCATTGTTCAACTTAAGTTCAATACCCGTCGTTCATACAACACCAAGAAATCACGATAGAAGACAATAAACGCTTCAACACGAAGCGTGTATCGTATCGTCAGTATTGACATTTCCATCCCATTAACATGCTCATAATGCACCGCAAAGTGCATCCTTTGTATACTAGCTGTTGCACGCCTTTTCATTAAGCGAATTTTTACTGGCTAATGAAATTAACAAATTCCATGCTTTCAAATTCAAAATTATAAAAATTTGAAAATTAAATTAAAATTCCACGGGTCAAGGAATTAAAGAATTCCAAATTCTAAATTTTCAATTTATTCATCAATATTTAAGCAAATTAACAAATTCCAAACATCGAAACTCATATTCAAAATTTTTTAATTAATTTAAATTACCATAAGTTAAGGAATTAAAGAATTTCAAATTCTAAACTTTCAATTTATTCATCAATATCTAAGCAAACTATAATTGCTCTGATTATTGATAAAATTGATCAAAATCCTAAATTAAATATTGTTCTGGATGGCTTTTAATTTATTTGGTTTTGGTACTGTTACGCTGACCAAGTTCAATAGTGTTTCTGAAACTAGATACCAAATAACCTTGAAGTTTCCAGATTTAGAAACATGATTTCTAACTAACTGAATCTCCAGCTGTGAATACTCAGCTACGGTATGCCATCCAGAAGTCACGACTGGTTTACCGGCAGAAGGACGGGTGGTTAAAGGTTGGGGAAACTTATCTGTTCATCCGTCCAGCTAGGAAAGCAGGGGATGAAGCGGAGTTGGGGAGTTTCAGTGAGAATATTACTGCACGCTGTTTCTCCCGAATGACATCCCACAATGATTGCACTTTGACACTTTGCCATGTAATAGTTTGATAATCTTCCCTGCTACTAAAACGAACAAGTAAAGGGTTGGACATGATAGGCTTTCCCAGAGAAAATGGGAACATGGGTGAAAAATATTCTCACTAGATATACAATTCTAGAAAATAACTAGATAAATAAGGAAGGTGCACGTGTGCTTAAAAACACAATTTAAAAGAAATATAAATAAACACGTTTTCTCTTTACATTTCATTCCAATTTTTTTATTTTTCCGCTCCAATTATTCAATGTCTGCAAAATATTAGTTCAGTGCAGTTCAAAACAACCGGAAGTTCTATCGAACAAATCCATTTACCGAAAACAGAGCCTGTTATCTATTATCGTCGTGAATTCAACGTACATTTCGTACCTCGCTTATTGATTTTATACTCCACCGATATTGTTCAGTTTTAACTGGTTATCAGCTGACATTTTCGTTGCATCAATTTGTCTATATGTGCCCCTATTATTGTTTCAATATTAAAATTTATCCGTATACTGATAAAATTATCAATGTCCACAGTTCGAAGGGAGAGATATCTATATTGATTGCAACGGCTGCGCGTCTGCGTACGATGGCGAATGCAGATCGTGTCTTCGCTCGATCTGTCGTTACCATATTGAATGATCTTCTTGACCCTTTGCACTTCAAGCACTAACCTGATTGACTTTCACAGCTTTCACGCTCTCTGGTTCGTTCTATTATTTTGAAACGTATACGTTTTACCGTTGGCCAACTACAGTCACATACACATAGCAACGAAATTATTCCCCAAGGGACGTTTTTATGGTATTAAAAAGAGCAAAAAAATAGGCGGCCAGAATTAATTTTTCGACGGTACTCAGTGAAGTATATCCAACCTCGACTATCTTACCCTGCCATTTCTACTATTCCACCATCTCTTGCTTGCTGTTCTAATTTTCTAGTTTGCCTTAACGAGGCTTACCAACCTTTAGTTAACCAAAATCCGTGTACTCTCGTTTGAGGTTTGTGAAACACTCGCGGAATAGTTGATTTGCTTTGACACATTCAAGCTCGTTTCGCGGCTTTACAAAGTTAGACGCGCGACTGCGTCCATTTAACGCTTTAATCCGTTTCGAGATTTTATGGAGTAAGAGACAAGGAAGAGAATGCTGCTTGAAGAGCATAAATGAAACTTCACGGAAAATGTATTTAACCGATTAGTACGCGTTATTACGCCACCGAGACAACATCGTTTTCAAGGAATAATTTAAACAAGCTTCCCGTCGAAATGAGAATTATTCCACCATCTTTATTGGTAGCCATGGTTTGAGTCCATTAAGCTACTACTCTATTTACCATTTTTATTTACCACTGACCTACTTAAATGAAAGTTTGAAGGTTTAATTTATTTTGGAATAATTATTATGACGAGGAATTTTATATAATTATTTTTCATATTATTATTAGTAGAATATTTTATAAGTAATTATAAGTTCGAATTTATAATTAAAATTGTGAAAAAATGATTTTGATTACTGGCGGTTTTGAACTCGCGATCTTCAGATTTCCAGTCAAAAGCTTTACCCATTTCTCCATTGTTAACTTTCGAAATCTTATCTCTTAAAATGAATTTTTTATTTAACGCAATTTTTATTGCATATACATGAACATGCATCGCTGTAATATTAAACCGAATTTATTGTTCGATGCTCACAATTCTGCAAAGTGAAACAAATGAAACGCCTTTTAGAAGCAGTGGCCTTTGAATTAACAACGAGGGAAAAGTTGGATGCGAAAAGTTTCGCATAAAACAACTTTCCATGGAATTTATCGTGCGATATTTTCACGGGCAACAGAGGAATATTTTTCAAGCCTTCCCTGGAAATTTTAATGAAATTATTGGACGATGCTTTTACCCCTTCAAACTATACAGAGATAACTCGGTGGATTCGCGTTAACAGTCTGCGAAAAGTTTCTTCGAAAACTGGGTCTAATGAGTTTTTTCTTTCTCAGTTTCTTCGGGGTCAGCTTCCAGTGTATTTTATTTAATAGAATTAGGCATTTATTCGCTTTTAATTACTTTCTGAATAACGATTATCGTGCTCTAAATGCATTTTACTTTTGT